ACTGGTTTATTGCTTTTCTTTTCCTTCAAGTTTTTTTTTTTTTTTTAAGATGGGGTTTCACCATGATGGCCAGGCTGGTCTTGAACTCCCGACCTCAGGTGATCCACCCATCTCGGCCTCCCAAAGTGCTGGGATTACAGGCGTGAGCCACTGTGCCCGGCCCAAGAACATTGTCTTTCTTAGTGCAGGTGGTAGCAGATAAACAAGGCTAGGGCAAGATAAGGAAATTGTCAAGTGGGATAGAGTCGATTTGGCCTATTTAGAAGAAAGGCTTCTTGAAAAGTTGGATGGGAAACTGTGTATCAAATAGGACCAGAAGTAGCAGGTAGACAGCAAAGACCCCACAGGTGACATATGCAGAGTTTTGGAGATTAGAGTTTGCAAGGTTGGCATTCATGAACAGTAGAGCTCTTATATGGGCCACAGCAGATGTCATGTGCTGTCTGCTTTTTAAATTTTGTTAAGAATGCATAACATGAGATCTACCCTCTTAACAGATTTTTTTCAGTGTACAATGCAGTATTATTATCTATAGGCACAATGCTGTACACTGGATCTCTAGAATTTACTCATTTTCTAAAACTGAAATTTCATACCCATTGATTAACAATTCTGAATTTCCCCTTTACCCAGCCCTTGGAAACCAACAATTTTTAATTGTTGTTATTATTTTAGAGATGAAGTCTTGCTATGTTTCCCTCTCATCTCAGCCTCCCAAAGTGCTGGGATTACAGGTGTGAGCCCCTGTGCCTGGCCTCACTTTGCTTTGTTACACATTTTTCTGATGATTAGTGACATTGAGCAACTTTCATTTACCTATTGGATGTTTGTATATCTTTAGAGATGCACGATATCTTTCTTCTTTGAAGAAATATCTATTCAGGTCATTAGCCCATTTTTTAATGAGACTATCAGATTGTCTGCTCTCAAGTTATAGAAGTTCCTTATATATTTTGGAAATTAACTCCTTATTAGAGATAAGGTTTGAAATATCATAGGTTGCCTTTTCATTCTATTGATGGTTTCCTTTGTTGTACAGAAGCTTTTTAGTTTGTTGTAGTCCTGTATGTCTATTTTTGCTTTCATTGCCTATGCTTTTGTCATCATATTCATGAAACCATTGCCAAGACCAACGTCATTCAGATTTTCCCCTATGTTTTCTTCTAGAAGATTTATAGTTTCAGGTCTTATTTCAAATCTTTAATGTACTTCGAGTTGATTTTTGTGTGTGGTATCAGATCAGGGTTCAAGTTCATTTTTCTGCATGTGGATATTCAGTTTCTAACACCATTTGTTGAGTTAGCTATTCTTTCCCCATTGTGTATTCTTGGCACTCTTTTTGAAGACTGGTTGACTATATATGCATGGATTTATTTCTGGGCTCTCTTTTTTTTTCTGAGATAGGGTCTCATTCTGTCACTCAGGCAGAGTGTGCAATGGTGTGATCTCAGCTCACTGTCACCTCTGCCTCCTAAATTTAAATGATAACCTCTGCCTCCCGAGTAGCTGAGATTACAGGCACCACACACCACAATGACTGGCCAATTTTTGTATTTTTTGTACAGATGAGGTTTTGCCATGTTGTCCAGGCTGGTCTTGAACTCCTGAGTTTAAGCTTGCCTTGGCCTCCCAAAGTGCTGAGATTACAGTTGTGGGCCACCGTGCCCAGCCTGGGCTCCCTATTCTTTTTCATTGGTCTATGTATCTGTTTTTATGCCAGTAACATGTTAATTACTGAAGACTTTTAATATATTTTGAAATCAGAAGCTTTGAAGTCTTCAGATTTGTTCTTTTTCAAGAATGTTGTGGTTATTTGGGATCTTATAAACTTAAATTTTTTTCTATTTCTGTAAAAATGTCATTATGGTTTTGATAAAGATTGCATTGAACCTGCAAACTGTTTTGAGTAATAGGAGCATCTTAACAATATGAAGTCTTCCAGTCATGACATGAGGTGTCTTTCCATTTGTTTGTGTCCACCTTAATTTCTTTTACCCATATTTTATAGTTTTCATACACAAATCTTTCATTTTCTTGGTTAAATTTATTTATAAGAATTTCATTATTTTCAGTGTTTATAAATGAGATTGAATAGTTAATTATTAGTACATAGAAAGGCAACTGATTTTTGTATGTTGATTGTGAATCCTGCAACTCTACTGCATTTATTAGTTCTAAATAAATTTATTTAGAGCTTTCAGTTGATAATATCACACCTCCTGCAAACAGGGACAAGTTTACTTCTTTCTTTCCTATTTGGATGCCTTTTTTTTTCTTGCCTAATTGCTCAGGCTAGATGAGTGGACATTCTTGCTTTGTTCCTAATCTTAGGTGGAAAAACTTTTAGTTTTTCACCATTGAATAGTTAGTTGTGGACTTTTCATATAATCTTTATTATGTTGAGGTAATTTTTCTCCACAGCCATGTGCCACATAACAATGTTTCAGTCAACAACAGACTGCATATATAATGGTGGTCCCATAAATTATAATGGAGTTGAGAAATTCCTATCACCAGCTGGGTATGGTTGCTCTTACCTGCAATCCCAACACTTCAGAAGGCCAAGGAAGGAGGATTGCTTGCACCCAGGAGTTCAAGATTAGCCTGGGCAACAAAGTGAAACCCTGTCTCTACCAAAAAAAAAAATAAAATAAATAAGCTGAGCACAATGGGGTGTGCCAGTAGTCCCAGCTACTCAAGAGGCTGAGGCAGAAGGATCCCTTGAGCCTAGGAGTTCAAGGTTGCAGTGAGCTATCATCACACCACTGCACTCTAGCCTGGGTAACAGAGTGATATCTTGTTTTAAAAAAAAAAAATCCTATCACCTAGTGATGTCAAAGCCATTATAATGTCATAGTGCAATGCATTATTCACACGTTTCTGGTGATGCTGGTCAAGACAAACCTACTGCACTGCCAGTCATAAAAAATTATAGTATATACATTTATGTACATTGCATCATACTTGATAATTATAATAAATGACCATTTCTGGTTTATGTATTTACTATACCATACTTTTTTTTAAGTGATGGGATCTTACTATGTTGCCCAGACTGGTCTCAAACTCCTGGGTTCAGCTGATCTTCCTACCTTGGCCTTCCAAAGTGCTGGGATTAGACATGAGCCACTGTGCCAAGCTTATACTACACGTACACTTTGTACGTTATTTTAGAGTGTACTCCTACTTACTAAAAATGTTAACTATAAAAACAGCCTCAGGCAGGTCTTTCAGGAGGTACTTCAGAAGAAGGTACTGTTATCATAGAATATGACAGCTCCATGCCTATTATTGCCCCTAAAGACCTTTCAGTGGGGCCAGAGGTGGAGGTAGAAGACAGTGATATTATGACCTTGACACCATGTGGGGGTGGGCTGATGTGTGCGTTTGTGTCTTAGTTTTTGACAAAAACATTTAAAAAGTAAAAACAAAAAATTAAAAAACAAAAGCTTATAAAGATACAAAGAAAGAAAATATTTTTGTACAACAGTGCAATGTGTTTGTGTCTTAAAGTCAGCATTATTACAAAAGAGTCAAAAAGTTAAAAAAATTAAAAGTTCATAAAATAGAAAAGTTACAGTAAGCTAAGGTTAATTGACTATTGAAAAAATACGTTTCCATAAATGTAGTGTATCCTAAGTATCCAGTGTTTATAAAGTCCATGGTAGTTTACGGTAATGTTCTAGATTTTCACATTCACTCACCACTCACTTACTGACTTACTCAGAGCAACTTCCAGTCTTGCAGTCCTCATTCACGATAAGTGGTCTGCATTATATCATGTTTTTACTGTACCTTTTCTATATTTAGATAGATAGGATTAAATATATAAATACCACTATGTTACAATTGCCTACAGTATGAGGTAGAACAACATGCTATACAGATTTGTAGCCTAGGATTAACAGACTTTACCACATAAGCCTAGGTGCATAGTAGGCTTTACCATCTAGGTTTGTTTAAGTACACCCTGTTATGTTTGCACAATGATGGAATTGTCTAAATACACATTTCTAGGAATGTATCCCTGTCTTTAAGCAATCCATGCATGACTGTATTCCTAGTTTATTAAGAGCTTTTATCATGAAAGGGTGTTGAATTTTATCAAATGCTTTTCCTTCTTCTATTGAAATGCTCATGTAATTTTTATCCTTCATTCGTTAATGTGGTGTATCACATTAATTGATTTACATATGTTGAACATCCTTGCACCCCATGTGGGATAAATCCCACATGATCATGGTGTATAATCTTTTCATTGTGTTTTTGAATTTTGTTTGCTAGTATTTTGTTGAAGATATTTGCATCTATTTTCATCAGAAATATTAACCTGAAATTATCTTTTCTTCTGATGTCCGTATAGCTTTTTTATCAGGGTAATGCTAGACTTGTGAATTTGAAAGCATTCCCTTATCTTCAGTTTTTTGGAAGAGTTCGAGAAGAATTGGCATTAGTTCTTCAAATATTTGGTAGAGAAATTGTCAATGAAGCCATCTGGTCCTGGTCTTTTTCTTGGGAGGATTTTAGTTATTGATTCAATCTCCTTATTGTTTATAGGTTTATCCAGACTTTCTATTTATTTAAGATTCAGTCTTGGTACACTGTATATTTCTATGAATTTATCCATTTCTACTAGGTTATCCAGTTTGTTGGCATATAATCATTCGTAGCATTCTCTTACAAACCTTTTTATATCTGCAGTATCAATTGTAATCTTCTCTTTCTGATTTTATTTGAGTTTTCTCTCTCTTTTTCTCGGTCTAGTTAAAAGTATGTCAATTTTGTTTACCTTTTTGAAAAACCAGATGTTGGTTTCATTGATTTATTCTATTGTTTCTCTATTCTCTATTTCATTTCTTCGTTAATCTTGTTTTCTTCTTTCTGCTAACCTTGGATTCAGTTTGTTCCTTTTTCTGTTCCTTGAGGTGCAAAGTTAAGTTGTTTATTTAAAATTGTTTTTCTTTCTTAATGTAGGCATTTATTGTTATAACTTGCATTTTAGTGCTGCTTTTGCTGCATCCCATTTTCATGTTCGTTCGTCTTGTTTCAAGATACTTTCTAATTGCACCTTTGATTTCTTCTTTGATGCGTTGGTTGTTCAAGTGTGTAACATAATTTCTAAATTTTTAAGTTTTCCTTCTAATACAAATTTCTAGTTTTATTCCACTGTAGTTGGAGAAAATACTTGGTATGATTTTCTTAAATACATTAAGACTTGTTCTGTGCTCTATCCTGGAGAATGTTCCATGCATACTTAAAAAAAATGTGTTGAGCTGGGTTGAATGTTATGTAAGGTTTCTACATGAAAAAAGAAAAAGCACCCTGCTGATAGTTTTATAGGGCTTCTCTTGTATATCGTGGGTTGCTTTTATTTTGCTGCCTTCAACATTCATTGTCTTTGACTTTTGACATTTGATTATAATTAGTCTTGGTGTGGATTTCTTTATGCTAATTGTGTTTAGAATTTTTCAACCTTCCTGGATCTGACTGCCCATTTTTTCCCTGCTAGATTTGGGAGTTTTTAGCCATTATTTCTTTGAAAAAACTTTCTGGTTCTTCCTCTTTTTCTTCTCCTGAAAATCTCATCATGGGTATATTAGTCCACTTGTTGGTGTCTCAAAGTTCTCTTAATGTTTCATCACTCCTTTTGTTCTTTTTTCTTTTTGCTCCTTTGCCTGAATGGTTTTAAGAGGCCAGTCCGAGTTTGCCTGTCTTGGTTGAAATTTTCAGTTTATTCATGCATTGTTCTCATCACCTCAATGAGTGTCTTTATGACAATTATTTTGAAATGTCTGTTAGGAAAATTGTATCACTGCTTCATTCAGGTCAATTTCTGATTTATCTTGTTTCTTTGTTTTGAACGTATTTCCCCATTTCTTCATTTTCCTTTGCTCTTTGTGTTGGCATTTGCACATTGGACAAAACAGCCACCTTTCTAGGTTTTCATAGATAGGAGAAACCCTCACCAGTTGGCCTGATCAGGGATTCTGGAGGCCCCTTAAACCTTCATGCTAGTCCAACCTTGTTTCTTTGTTCTTAGGGGCCTCAAGTGTCTAGAGTACATTGGTCCCATTCGTGCTCCAAGATAAGTGAAACTGAAGCCAACTCCTTCGGCAGTCACCAGAGACTTTGAATCACTAGACGTCTTGTCCAATTCTTTCCCCAGAGATAAGTTGGGATCTGGATTTTGTTTTGTTTTGTTGTTTTTGTTTTTTGCTTTTTTCCCCATTTGTGCCACACCAGAGAGAGGGGCTGTGGTGACTAACATGCTACATCAAACCACTGTGTTTTTTCTTACTGGCCTCCCAGGTGACTAGGGTATACTGGATTCCATTAGTGCTTCAATACAAGCAAAACAGAAAAAGCCAGTCCTTTGGGCAGTCCCTGGAAAAGTTGGGGCATTGGACACTTAGTGCAACTCTTTTCCTCCCCTGGGAGAAGCTGGGAGTTGGGGTTATTGCCTGATTTATCAGGAGAAGCTGTGGTGAGTGCCTGCGTGCTAGTTCAAAGCTCCTCTTTGTTCTCTGTAGCACCCAGAGGACTAATACATGTTGGGTCTCAGATCTTCTAGCCAATTTCTCAGATACCACTTGGAAAAACTGGAGTGTTTGATGTGTGGTCCAATTTTTTCCCTCCTTGGGGAGAAGCTAAAAGTTGAGAGTTCTCTTCTGATCATATAGCACTGTTCTGGGATGAGTATTATGTCAGAGAAATGGTTCTGCTTTTCCTACTGGTTTCAATGTAACTGGTTTTATACTTGCCTGGTAAGCAGGAGCCTCTCAAGTAGTTTCTGGGTTTCTCACAGATGGAATTGGTTTATGTGTGGCTACTGAATGATTGTGTCTGCTGTGGGAAGTCTTCCAAGATTTCCTATTCTGTCATCTTGCTAACATCATTCCTCTCTGCTCTCTTTTGACCATTCTTCTTTATGTGCCAAGGGCTTGAAGGCATATCAGCAACTTTGGGAAGACTGAAGCCCCTGCAGAATTTATTATTCTCTATTTTTTTGAGTGCTAGAAATGATACAGGCCAATATTATGGCTAATCTAAGAAGTTATTCTACTAAATTAGATATAAAATGAAAGTACTTATTTTCAGCTTTTTTTTTTTTTAGACAGAGTCTCACTCTGTTGCTCAGGCTGGAGTACAGCGGCATGATCTCTGCACATCGCAGCCTCTGCCTCCTGAGTTCAAGCGATTCGCCTGCCTCAGCCTCCCGAGTAGCTGGGATTACAGGCATGTGCCACCGTGCCCAGCTCATTTGTTGTATTTTAGGAGAGACAAAGTTTCACCATGTTGGCCAGGCTGATCTTGAACTCCTGACCTCAGATGATGCCGGCCTTGGCTTCCCAATGTGCTGGGATTGCGGAAGTGAGTCACCACACCTGGCCTACATTGTAGTTTTGATCTGTACATTCTTTGGTTGCTTTACCTACTCACCCGTTTAGACTTCTGCTGCTTCTTAGAGTTTCTGGTTACCATAAACCTAGTTGCATGGACTTATCTCATTTACATTTTCAGATATTTTTGTTTGGTACTTTAAAAAATTTTTTTAGAAGTAAAACATACACATAAACATTTTAAAGCAATGTTCAAGGCTATATAGCAAAATAAATGAATGAACCTCTTTCCTGATCTTCCTACTTTTCCTTTGCGAAGGCAATAACTAATTGGTTTATTGAGTCTTTCCAGAAGTAGTCTGTTCAAGCCTAACTTAAATTATTCATATTTAGAAGAAACAATTGTAGCAGACTGTGCTTTTTGTGGGCTTTCTTCAGTAGCTGTGGTTCAAGGGCAGGTGATACAAAATGGTAGCTTGACTCTATAGAGAGTCAGCAGATGTATCCTGTTTATGACATCACGTAACTAGAGTAGGTGTACAACACCTACCAGTATTTTACAATACTGGTAGCTTAGTTTGCATTTTATTTTATACCCTAGCTTTACTCATTTAGGAATTTGAGTTTGTCACCCATCTTTCAAGGAAATTAAAACAGAAACTGACTCTATGTATCTGTTCATTGTATGACTATTTTCTCAAATTATTTTAATTGCATAAGTGGACTAGATCTCATTTTATTTTCTTGTCATATAACTTCTTAACAATATTAAATGTCTTTCCCTAATTGAGATCAAGATTTACTTATTGGTGGTATTGACTAAAAAAGAAAAATGAAGGTTATTTTAATCTTAAGTTGTTTTATAAAGCCCTCGAGCAGTTCTCAAGCTTGAATACATTAGGATGACCTAGGGTGCTTGTTAAAAATGTACATTTTTGGCCGGGTGCAGGGGCTTACACTGTAATCCCAGCACTTTGGGAGGCTGAAGCAGGTGGATCACTTGAGGCCAGGAGTTTGAGACCAGTCTGGCCAAAATAACAAAATCCCATCTCCACTAAAAAAAAATACAAAAATTAGCTGGGCTTGGTGGTAGGCACCTGTAGTCCCAGCTACTGTGGAGGCTAAAGCAGGTATATCACTTGAACGCAGGGGCAGGAGCTGCAGTGAGCTGAGATCGCACCACTGCACTCCAGTCTGGGTGACAGAGCAAGACTCCAAAAAAAAGAAGAAAAGAAAGAAAGAGAGAGAGAGAGAGGGAAGGAAGGAAGGAGGGTGGGAGGGAGGGAGGGAAGGAAGGAAGAAAGAAAGAAGGAGAGAAAGAAAGAAAGAAAGAAAGAAAGAAAGAAAGAAAGAAAGAAAGAAAGAAAGAAAGAGGGAAAGAAAGAAAGAAAAAAGATTTTTTGAACTTCCTTTCCTTCATCTCCTACCTTCCAACCCGCATCAGAGAATCTTATGTAGTGGACTTGATATGGGGCCCTAGAAGTTTCTGAAGGAGTAAATTCCTGGATCAGAGACTGGGAAGGAGACTAATCCCAAAAACACTCATTGTGTTCAGCAGAAAAGCTTGTGACCTTTTGGACAACAATTTCATGTTTTGTTTTGACCTAAAGAGAATCTATAATAGTGAAGCTTATTTTAGAAGTAGAGGCAACACAATTTTGGTGTGGAAAATTCCTTGTACATCGCTGCTGCAGAGGAAGTAGCAATGTGTCCCAGCGGTTCTGACCTCTTTAAACAGGGTTATTGCACAGATTGAAAACAACAGAGCAATGAAGCGAAATTACTGCCATACTTTGTGAAAAACAGATCAAAGGAAACTTCCCTGGTCAAATGGAAACTGTACTACAAGTAAGGAGCAGTCAAGTTAGCTTAATTTGTAAACAGTGCTACATGACAGGGTCTTATGCAGTTGAACAAGTCAAATCCGTTTTCAATCTAGACAGTAGTGTTGACTTTTGTTATATTAGATACTTTGCACGTAAGAACTATCAGCTAGATGCCAATGCTATATAAAGCAAACAAAGCTGGCAGTGTATGATAGAGAGTACATTTAGCTCAGGGGTCAACAAACTGTAACCTGTAGGCCAAAGCTGGTTCCCTCTGCTCGTTTGTGTATGACCTGCCGTATATACTGAGAATTGTTTTACTTATTTTAGAAATATTTTATTTATTTATTTATTTGAAACAGGATTTCACTCTGTCACCCAGGCTGAAGTGCAGTGGTTCAATGACAGACTCTGTCTCCTTGGCTCAAACAGCCCTCCCACCTCAGCCTCCAGAGTAGCTGGCACTACGCAGGTGCATGCCATGATGCCCAGCTAACTTTTTATTTTTAGGTAGAGAGGAGCTTTTCACTGTGTTGCTCAGGTTGGTCTCAAACTCTTGAGCTCAAGTGATCTGCCTGCCTCAGCCTCCAAAGGGCTGGAGTTATAGGCGTGAGCCACTGGGCCTAGTCTGTTTTACATTTTTAAATGCTCAGAAGAAAGGAAGGATATTTCGTGACATGTAAAAATTACCTGAAATTCAGTTGTCAATGTCCATAAAGAAAGTTCTATTAAAACATGGCCATGTTCTTTTGTTTTTGTATTGTCTACACGTGCTTTGGGGCCTCAATGGCAGAGCGGAATTGTTGCAACAAAGACCATATCGCCTTGCAAAGCCTAACATGTGTATCACTGGCTCTTCCAGAAAAAATCTACACACCTTGATTTAGCTCATTCCTCTCCTAAAAGGCTGACATTCCTTGGAATGCAGGAAGCTTAGAGGCCAGAATTTCAACCTCTTTCCCTCTTCAATCCACTTTTTAGTTTGTTTTCTATTTTTCTGGGAGAATTTCACGTTCAGATTGTTAGTTATCCGAAAACTGAAGAAGAAACAACTTCCTAATTTCTCATCATATTCTGTTGTAGAAACGTGTGGAATTCATTCAAAATACATGAGAGCTGTGTATCCTACCAAAACCTTCCCAAATCATTACACCATTGTCACGGTAAGTGCCTGACCCAGTGGTAAGACAGGCCAAAGACCAGAACTGATCACATAAGACAGACATGCTTGGGCAGGAACCGGCTGATTTCAGTGTCTTACCCTGAATTGAGAATCAAGCACATGTGGGGATAGTTCATGGCTCAATTCAGGCTGGAAAGTCATGGCTCAATGTGAGGCCACTCCAGAGCTGTGAGGCACGAGCTATGAGTAAATGTCCAGCCTTAGGTTAACTCACCTGTGTCGAACCCAAAACAGACCCTTTGATGTGAGAAATACCATTTTCCTCTGGTCTTTTGATTGCCCTTTGTTTATCTGAAGGTTGGCTGAGAACAGTAAGCTATATAGAGGGACAACTACTTTGATGTGGAAAATTTCATTCTTTCCTAGTCTTTTCATTGTAATTAACTTGATAGAACTTATTTTTCATAAATGAATTAACACTGTCTACATCTCTTTAAATAAATCAATAAAAGCAAGCGAATTACCTTAGTGTATAAAAAGATGTAGGTAGAATGATTAAAATGAGCTTAAATAAAAATTAAGTTATTTAAGATGGATAGATTTAGAACACATTTTAAGGCACCTTCTGCCTCAAAGGATATTTGTGTCTTTATTACTTTGGGTTTTAGTCTTTTGTTACTATGGAACAGTAACTATGACATTTAAATTTTAACCCCTATACAAATGTATGTGTATTCTCATTATTTGCAGATTCAACGTTTGTGGGTTTGTCTACTCACTAAAATTTATTTCTAGCCTCCAAATCAATAAGTATAGTGCATTTGTGGTCATTTGCAGCCATCACAAAGAAGCATAAAAAGTTGAGTTTCCCAATGCACATGTCACATGTTCCTAGCTAAGGTCTAACCAGGAGACATTCTGCTTTCTTGTTTTAGCTGTAACATTATAAACAAGTAACATTTTCACAATCTTACTGTCTATCGAATGCTATACTTTTTATATGCTCATGCTTTTTCTTGGGTCATGTCACTAGTTAAAATTGTCCCCTTGTATAGTACCAAAGTGCTTTCTGCTATCCCTAAGAGCAAGAAGGCTGTGAATTGCCTTACAGAGGAAGTATGTGTGTTAGGTAAACTTTGCTCAGGCATGAGTTATAGTGAACCAACAATATATATAAATAAGGTGACTTTAAACAGAAACACTTATAAAAGAAGGTTATGTATTGATTAGAAGACAAAAAATGTTGTAACCAGAGGATCTCAGGAACATAACTCTGTATTTTTCCTAGGAGTAATGGTTTAGTAATCATTAATTCAGTGTTCATGACAACTTTATAGAATATAACTACTATGAATAATAATAATTGACTGTATACACATAAATATAAATACATACTACATACTACATATATGTATGTGTATACATAAAATAATGGATTATGCAAAAGTGCTACTAATTTACCATTTATATATTTTATACACATGTATGCATAGATATTCATATACGTGGTGATGTTCTAAAATAATGACCCTAAAATCCATAGGCATTCAATAGAAACGTGTGGAATGATTAAATAAATATGTGGGATTGGATAGATGGATGGATGGCAGGGAAGGTGGATGGAGACTGGGCAGGCTGCCTTTAAAATGCTGGTAACACCCTTTAATTCAATTTTGTCGAGATATTTGATATATAGAAAGCTTCTATCTAGTAAATTTCTTGCTATTATTGATAATATAACCAGTGGCTAACCATTACTCTACTATGTGAATCTTTAACAAACAGTTAAACAGTTTTTTAGCACACAAAAGTTATATTAACACCATCAGCACAAGCCATCAGCCTAATGTAATTTATTTGCTGCTATAAACCATGGTAAACTAGAAAAAAATATATATATATATACACACACATATATATATACACACATATATACACATATACACACACACATATATATATATGTACATATATATATATATACTGGCATGCAGGTAAAAAATTTAAAAGAAAATATATAGATATATATACACACTTGGCCTTCCATATGTGTGGGTTCTGAATCCATGGATTCAACTAACTCTGGGATGAAAATATATTTGAATGGAATCAACCTAAATGTCCATCAATGACAGACTGGATAAAGAAAATGTGGTACATATATACACCATGTAATATGCAGCCATACAAAAACAAGATCTTTTTTTGTGGGGCCATAGATGGAGCTGGACACTATCATCCTTAGCAAACGAAATACCACATGTTGTTACTTATAAGTGAGAGCTAAATGATAAGAACTTATTAACGCAAAGAGGAAACAACAGACACTGGGTCTACTTGAAGAGGGAAGGTGGGAGGAGGGAAAGGAGCAGAAAAGAGAACTATTGGGTACTGATCTTAGTACCTGGGTATGTACAATAAACTCTCATGACACATGTTTACCCCTTGCACAGGGTTTGTTCCTAAGTGACAAACTTTCACATGTACCCCAAACCTAAAAGAAGGAAAGAGAAAGGAAGGAAAGAAGGAAGGAAGGAAGGAAGGAAGGAAGGAAGGAAGGAAGGAAGGAAGGAAGGAAGGAAAGAAGGAAGGAAGGAAGGAAGGAAAAATATTTGGAAAAAAACTGCATTTTTACTGAATATGTACAGACTTTTCTTGTCACTATTCCCTAAACAATACAATGATTGACATAACCTGTGCATTGTATTAGCTATTATAAGTAATTTAGAGATGATTAAAATATACAGGAGGGTATGCATAGGTTATATGCAAATCCCAAGCCATTTTCTATCAGAGACTTGAAGATCTTCTGATTTTGGTGCCTGAGGGAGGTCATGAAACTAATGGAAGCCAAGGGATGACTATATCTCCTGATATTTAAGTTCAGGTCCATGTGTTTTACGTTGAAAGGTGTATAGTATCTTTCCTAGATATGAGTAATAGATTGTGTGCTATTTTAATTTAAATTTATATTTTACTAATATTTTATCTTACATCTTTTTTGAAATTATCATTTTAGGGCTTGTATCCGGAATCACATGGCATCATTGACAATAATATGTATGATGTAAATCTCAACAAGAATTTTTCACTTTCTTCAAAGGAGCAAAATAATCCAGCCTGGTGGCAAGGGCAACCAGTATGTAGCATTATACACGTGGCAACTGAAGTAACTGCCATTTCTCAATGTGACAGGAGGTCACACTTCTCACCCCACTTTGAGTTCTATGTCACCCATCTAGTTTCTAAGGGCTGAGGGTGGGAAGGTGTTTCACCACTATTTATAACTTGAATTTTTAAAACATTTGTGGTTGTTAATTCAAACAGCTTTTGTTTAAATGTGCATGTTGGATTATAAATGTATCTATCTAGAAATTACTCAGAAAGATTATTGTTAGTGTTTTTCCTCATTCTGTTTTGTAATTCTTTTAAAGGGAGAAAGGAACCATCCAATTTTACCAGTTAAAAAAAAAATGATTTTGCTTCTTTGTACCTTGCTATGTTTTTGATTTTTGAGGCAGATTCTTAGATAATTATATCTTTTAATTGCTACAATGGTTAAATTTCTATTTTAATACATGCTGCAACTATTAATCTTGTTTAGTTTCTAGGCAGGTACACCATTCCTGCCCAAGGTAATTATCGAGTTTCACTTATTCTAAATTTTCTCTTCTTACAGATGTGGCTGACAGCAATCTATCAAGGTTTAAAAGCTGCTACCTACTTTTGGCCCGGATCAGAAGTGGCTATAAGTGGCTCCTTTCCTTCCATATACCTGCCTTACAATGGGTAGTGAAGCACTTCCAGATATTCTCCCAGCTAGGCAGAAATGATCAGGATTTTTTTTTTCATCTTAATCTTGGTGGCAATTCTATTAATCCAGTCGTTTGAGCTAAAAATCTTGGGAGTCACCATTGATTCCTCTTCTCTATATCACTCAAGCAGTCTTTCAGTAAATGCTTTTGGCTCTAATTAAAAATCTACATAGCCTGAGAACTTTTTATAACCTCTAGAATTACCACTCTGGTTTGAGCTATTATCTCTCGGCTGTACTATTGCAGTTGCCTCTTTACTCATTTCTCTGCTTCTTATCCTTTATAATCTAGTCTCATCCCACCCACCAGAGGGATTCCTTTAAAATGCAAGTCTGGCCGAATAGGGTGGCTCATGCCTATAATCCCAACAGTTTGGGAGGCTGAGGTTGGCTAATCACTTGAGGTCAGGAATTTGAGACCAGCCTGGCCAACATGGTGAAACCCCGTCTCTACTAAAAACACAAAAATTAGCTGGGCATGGTGGCGCATTGCCTGTAATCCTGGCTACTCCAGAGGCTGAGGCAGGAGAATCGTTTAAACTCAGGAGACAGAGGTTGCAGTGCGCTGTGGTCAGGGGCTCCTGTAGTCCAACCTAGGCGACAGAGCGAGATCTGTCTCAAATAAATAAATAAATTTATTAAATTAAATGCAAGTCCAATTATGGCATTCTTTTGCACCAAAAACTTCAATGGCTCCTTGTGTCACTCAGAGTAAAAGCCCACAAAGCCCTACGTGGCATGACCTCGGCTGTTCGCTTAGCTCTCAGACCTTATCTTCTGCTACTCCCTGGGGTGCTCACTCTGAACTCCTTGGTGGGCTTCAATCTACTAGGCTCGCTTCTGCTGCAGGACGTTGCACTGGCTGTTCACCCTCCCTGAGATGATTTGCTTCATGGATCCGAATGCCTACTCTTTTACTGCCTTCCAGCCGCTATTGAAAAATTACCTTCTCAATATTGTCTTGCCCCAGTTACACTAAGATTTAAAATTCCAAATCACCTTCATCCCTGTTACTGTGCTCTAGATTTTTTTTGTCCATAGCATTTATCACCTTTTAATACACTGTATAATTTATTTTTAAATTAGGTCTATTTTTGTTACTTGTCTTCCTCCACTAGAATGTCACCTTTGGTTTTCTCACTGATAAATTCTGTTTTGAATGAACAAATAGTGTCCAGCAATAGAGGTTCAACATATGTATATGCACACGTTTTTAAAATGGAGCGAATGGATCATAATCATTTGTCTTTTATTTTAGTTGGGAAAACTAAAGGAGAGAAAGGTGAGGGGGAAATAAAACAATCTACATTTCATTTATAGTGCTGCAAGTGTATCTATGAACAGAAATCCCTTGAAATCCTACTTAATCCCTTTCAATATTGTGATTATATAGGGACACAAAGTGGATAGCTGAAGATATTAACCTCTCTGAATAGGAATGTAATGGAGTTATTCTTGATTTGATTCATTTTAAAGGATTATTTCTACCCTATTTTTTCAGAAGTGTTCCATATGAAAAGAGGATTTCTACATTGTTAAAATGGCTGGACCTGCCCAAAGCTGAAAGGTAAAGTCTAGTGTCAGAAAAGTGCTGGCATAGTGGCATTTACATGGTTAAAAAATGAAGTTATTTCTTTACTTTAAATGGCAATTTTTGGGCTATTTTTGAAACAACATGGCATTGCCTTTTAATGGGCACTTTTCATGAATTGTTCCTGGCTGGTCAGAGGCTTTCACTCCTTTAATCCCAGCACTTTGGGAGGTTGAGGCAGGAGGCTCACTTGGGCCCAGGAATCCCAGACCAGACTGGACAACACAGTGAGACCCTGTCTCTAAAAAAATGTAAAGAAATTAGCTGGGCGTGGTGGTTCACAGTTATAATCCTAGCTACTTGGGAGGCTGAGGCGGGAGAATCACTTGAGCCCAGGAGTTTGAGGCTGCAGTGAGCTATGGTTATGCCACTGTCCTCTAGCCTGGGTGACACAGTGAGACTCTTGTCTCAAAAAAAAAAGGAAATTATTTCTGAGAGCTAGTAACTTCTGTTTTCAAAAACGTAGTTGACACTATTGAACAGCAGAGATAGAGCCAGTACCAAAGAGCAGAGGCAAATATCACAGAACCAGAGCCAGATATGGAATGGAGCAGAACTGGGAGCAGGTCTGACACTCGGTTATAAGGTCTGACTCAAAGACCCAGAGGTACACCATCAAGCCCACGGCAACAGACTGGAGTGAGAGAAGGCTAACTAGGAGCTCCAGGTAAACAGTACATCAGAAACCAGACACCAGAAGAAAGAACGTGGTGTGACAGAACCAAGAATCAGCAAAAAGTCAAAAACCAGGAAACAGAAAGGACTGGGGCACAACAAAAGTGGTCTTATCTGCAAGAACAAAACAGAGTTTCACAACAGGGGTGTACCAATACCTCTACCTGGGATGGTCTTGTTTCTGTTAAGAGACCTATCCTTGCTGGAGCCAAGTAGAACCACAGGGTCTGAACAAAGAGGAGGAGGTTAGAGAGAAAGAAAAGGCCACAGCCAGCAAGCCCGCCATCTACAAAATCCCCCAATCCAGCCTGTACATTTATTACAAATTGGCAATATATTTGTTTCAATTTTACCCCTAGACCCAGTTTTTATACCATGTATTTTGAAGAACCTGATTCTTCTGGACATGCAGGTGGACCAGTCAGTGCCAGAGTAAGTTGTGTGTGTGTGTGTGTGTGTGTGTGTTGTTGTTGTTGTTTTTAAATGTAAATTCATCTAACTCTAACCTACAAAACAAAATAGTATTCTTTAATTTCTACTAAGGATACACGTATTTGATACATACACAGGAAGGTCAAAACAGTTAAAAGAATAAAAGGGATGCCATGGTTAACTGCCTTCTTAACCATGAAAGGGTTGAAAGTCTAGAAGGACAACTGCCTTATTAACTATATCTTGAATCATTTGAAAAACCCTCATTGAATGCGTAGACGCGGCACTGTTGTTGCATATAATGAAAACATCGGCGCTAGATACTATACAAGCGAGCTCATACTAATGTGGTGCGTTTCAGGCTAAGTCACCTGCAAGTCCATTCTGGTATATCCAGCTGTCTCCTCTCCCACAGTTCATTCATAAGTTCCTGATAATTGGACTTAACATATTACTGCCTCAGGCAGAGTTATTTCCCTTCTAGGCTCCCATTATTGTTGAATTGGACTCTTTAATATAAGTTTATTCATTATCTAGACCATTCTGTTATGATTTTACTACACAAATATAGTCCTTAAGTATTGCTTTTAACAACAACAACAAAAAAGCCATTCTATCTTCTAAACTTCACTAAAGCCTCTAATTGTCTTGGACCCACAATGGAAAATTGCAAAGGCTGCCATGAGTAAGGCATTTCCCACCTGATGGAAACTCACTTAACAATTGTCCTCAACTGGAACACAAGCATATTTATTCTGGCAGCATGCCTTTGCCATTTCTCAGAAAAGCCTTTTATTTTTTCCTTCCTTCCTATTAGGCCAAAATGAATCCTAATATAGGGTCTCATTCAAGCCTCACCACTTTTAAGCCTTGGGCCTCTGTTGTATTCCTGCTCTACTCTAGACTGTATCACAGAATTGTATGCTTTTTCAGGTTACTCTAACGGTGAACTATCTAATGTCTTCTTTTCTTTCTTTTTTTTTTTTTTTTTTTGAGATGTGGTCTCGCTCTGTCACCCAGGCTGGAGTACAGTGGTACAATTTCAGCTCACTGCAACTTCCACGTCCCAGGTTCAAGCAATTCTCTTGGCTCAGCCTCCCAAGTAGCTGGGATTACAGGCATGAGCCACCACGCCCGGCTAATTTTTGTCTTTTTAGTAGAGACAGGGTTTCACCATATTGGTCAGGCTGGTCTTGAACTCCTGACCTCAGGTGATCCACCCACCTCAGTCCCGCAAAGTGCTGGGATTACAGGCATGAGTCACCAGGCCCGCCCCGTCTTTTCTATTTTAACTGTTAGCCATGTTTGATATGATTTGTCACTTGAGAAGGGACACTCTATTTGCATTCGTTGCAGCTCTGGAGCTGATTTAAGATCAGGCACCATTTCCTTTTTTTTTTCCATCCAGTGCTCTGGCTTAAAACCCAAGTTCATTTAAAGTATAATTTTGAAAAGTGCTGCAAAGGAAAAGATCAGAATTTCCCCCAAGATATCTATCTAGGCAGTCTCAATCTAGTCAAGAGTAGGGTGCAGATTTGGGCTGCTTAGGGGACTCTCCTCTGAGTGACAAAAAGGAAATAAAATTTACAAATGCTTGGGCTAGTCCGGTGGCTCACGCCTGTAATCCCAGCACTTTGGGAGGCTGAGGCAGGTGGATCATGAGGTCAAGAGATCGAGACCATCCTGGTCAACATGGTGAAACCCCATCTCTTCTAAAAATATAAAAAATTAGCTGGGCATGGTGGCACATGACTGTAATCCCAGCTACTCAGGAGGCTGAGGCAGGAGAATTGCCTGAACCCAGGAGGCAGAGGTTGCGGTGAGCCGAGATAGCGCCATTGCACTCCAGCCTGGGCAACAAGAGCAAAAAAACTCCATCTCAAAAAAAAAAAAAAAAAATTTACAAATGCTCTTATTGAGGAAGGAGCTGTGCACACTGTAGGAACATATATAATGAATAAATGGTCTGACAAACAAATGGCTAGATGGCTCAGCAAGTAGACAACGTGATAATGTTAAGAATAATAGTAGCAGCTCACCCTTATTTGTGCTATGCTGTGCCAGAGCTGTTGGACAAACTATGAGGATTATCTCCCACCAATGTCTCCAGCACTGTGGAACAGGGAAGAGGGCTAAGAGGAAGCCCAGAGAAGAAGTCAGGCACCAAATCCTGCAGGGCCTTGCAGGGCCTTACAGGCTAGAAAAAGTACAATGAGAAGCATTGAAGCACTGTAATAAGGGAGGTGACCTGGAGGAAGCAAGAGAAAGTGGGGAGAGACAGTGTTGACTTAGGACAAATGCTCAAATACTTCTTTAAAAAAGAAGTAGAATTATTGGGTGACAGATGCTCTTTTTAACTCTCTGGTAACCTATTGTCACATGACCCTCTGGAATGTGTGTGACCCTTAGACTCTCAGAAGTATCTCTCCACATGTCTCTCTAACATGAAGCATCACTGTGAAAATCTTTACAGTTGAATAGTGTTTGTTGACATTCAACATGGTTTCACATATTTATTAGCCAGCAGTTTATCTTCCTCTGTAAGAAACACAGTTTAGATTTCTGTTTATAGAAATTTAGGGAATTGGTAATTGATGAATGTGGTAGAATGGGTGCTAGTGCTGGGCTCTGATGTTCTGTTTCAAAACCAGCCATTTCAGAGAAGGAGAGGTGTTTAATTTTTACTCGATTAGATAACAGTTTGGCTAATTAAAACAATTTGTTACAACAACCTTCACTCCACATTATTTTTTAGGTAATTAAAGCCTTACAGTTAGTAGATGGTGCTTTCGGGATGTTGATGGAAGGCCTGAAGCAGCGGAACTTGCACAACTGTGTCAATATAATCCTTTTGGCTGACCACGGTATGCTTTTTAAACAAATTCTTATTTTGCCATTGACTATATTTTATCAATTCAGGAATCATACACAAATAAGAGTGATATTTTAAAGTCTCTACTTCCAGACCTAAAGTCTGTTGAAGAAGCAAGGAATGAACTGTGATAGATGTGAGGAAAAGAGGACCACATTAAGTGTTCTAGTTTAATTATTCTAATACCCCCGAAACCTACCCATAGATGCTATGTTTTGTAAAAGTGGAGTTAATGATATTTAACAGGGATGTGGCCGGGTTGTTATTAAAATCTAAGAAGTGCTTTGGGGCCTTCTTTCCAGCCATGTAATCGGCAAGTTTTGCCACACCATGTGTTTTTTTTTTTTTTAGTTATGTAAATAGATGTGTGTTTATTCATAGCTTTCTGTCTTTAAAGTTAGTGTCACCTCACATTTCTCTACTTGAGGTTAACTATTGATTTTGATGAACGTGAATGTTAAAGGCATTGAAACAGTGGGCACATCCTTTCCCACCTCACACAAAATACATTCAAACAGTTTTGAAGTATATATGTGCTCATTCTACAGATATTTTCTAAGTGTCTACTCAATGCTAGGTATTTGCCTAGATATGGAGTAGATCCTTCCTAGCTAGGGTGGTCAAATTGCCTTCTTGAGAACAGCATTTAAAGTCAATCCCAGTATCTGGGACCAGCCATGAGGCATGAGGAGGAAAAAGAGTGTGTCTGCAGAACTTTTGTTCATATTTTAGAGCATCCAGATAATGATAAACATAGAAACGTATTTTTAAAATTTCTAAGATGTTTCCCTAACACTTTGCCCTATCTTTTTAAAATTAAAGATAAACCTGTTTAAGTACATTTTGTTCAAATAAATTAATTAAAATAAAAATGTATATGCAAGCCAGGCACCATGGCTCATGCCTGTAATCCCAGCACTTTGGGAGACTGAGGCAGGTGGATCACCTGAGGTCAGGAGTTCGAGACCAGCCTGGCCAACATGGTGAAACCCTGTCTCTACTAAAAATACAAAATTAGCTGGATATGGTGGCACACACCTGTAGTCCCAGCTACTCAGGAGGCTAAGACAGGAGAATTGCTTGAACCCAGAAGGCGGAGGCTGCAGTGATGTAAGATCACACCATTCCACTCCAGCTGGGGCTGCAGAGCAAGACTCTGTCTCCCAAAAAAAATAAAAATGTATATGAAGTCTGAAGAATTTTCAAATAAAAAAGATTAACTACCAAATCTTTTTATAGCACATACTCCTTATATAAATTTAAATTACTTTGTACTTTTGTTTTGAGACGGAGTCTTGCTCTGTTACGTAGGCTGGAGTGTAGTGGCATGATCTTGGCTCACTACAACCTCCACCTTCAAAGTTCAAATGATTCTTGTGCCTAAGCCTCCCGAGAAGCTGAGACCTCAGGTGCACACCACCACACCTGGCTAATTTTTTAATTTTTTGGTAGAGACGGGGCTTACCATGTTGGCCAAGCTGGTCTCAATCTCCTGTCTTCAAGTGATCTGCCCACCTTGGCCTCCCAAAGTGTTAGGATTACAGGTGTGTGCCACAGAGCACAGCCTGAATAATGTACTTTTAAAAGTAATTATTTTTGAAACTTTATTCTCTTAGTGTATTGACCTATAAAAGCCCATCTTGCTTTTTAGATTTAAAAATGTATTATGTTTTCTTACATACAAATCAGATATTTTAAAGCTTTAATTAGCCTCCTACAGAGGATTTTCTTCTTGAAATTACTTCCATTAATCTATTATACATTGAATAAATGATCTGTTTATAATTCCCATCCGTTCTTCCCTCAAATATGGCCGTTTTCTACTGCCACAATTTTCTGCCAGAGTGAAGTAATAGGGTGAATTGCACAAATTCTCAGTGAAACTTGGTTTGAGAGCTGTAACATAAAATGTCTTCTATTTGACAGAAATCAAATAGGACAGAAATCAATCGTTGCCATTTGTATACGTTCAGTGGATTATTATGATTATTTTTTGATTCAGGAATGGACCAAACTTATTGTAACCAGATGGAATACATGACTGATTATTTTCCAAGAATAAACTTCTTCTACATGTACGAAGGGCCGGCCCCCCGCATCCGGGCTCGTAATATACCTCATGACTTTTTTAGTTGTAAGTATGAAGGCATCTATATGAAAAAAAGGGTAAAACTGAAAATGAATAACCATAGTCCCCTAATTCTGAGAGGATGTTGGGTTTATCAGACCCTCTGCTGACTGCTTACTCCTTGAGAAGACCACACGGAAATAAGTGTGAAATTCCCATGCTTAAGTATAGTCTATAAAGTCTATGGTAATATCTAATATTGTTAGGTTGAAATATATCCTACTCTGTTCTAAATGCTAAAATAATTCTTTGCTTGAAATAATTTTTAATCTAATTATATCAGATCATAGTTATTAATAAATGAATGTGTGAAATTCAAGTAGTTCACATTCTTTGTAATTGTTCAGTATCAATTGTAATGTCATTTATGTCTTTTTCTTTTGAAACAGTTAATTCTGAAGAAATTGTTAGAAACCTCAGTGTAAGTATACAATATTCTTAATACATATATTTAAGCTAATGCAATGACTTTAATCTGGGTTTTGAGAAATTCATATTCTACTTTTCTAAGTCTAAGCTACTTGGAATTTATTTTTTAAACTTTCCATCAACATTATTTTATATGCATGTTAGTTGCTTTTATATTAGTTGTTTTCATTTTGGAGCTGACACATCCACAGAAATAAGTTTGCAGTAATAGCAGCACTAAATCCTGGTGTATATTGAAAGGGCTAATGTCCCATTCAAAAGCGTTGCCTTATTGAGCTTCAGGTAGCATCATCTTTCTCGTTTTTTGTGTGACTAATATAAGAGGAGAGTGAATTACACCTCTCACAGATCTTTTTTTTACAAATCAAAAAGATAATCTCTTTACCCACTAAGAGTAATTGCAACTGCTTTTGATTGGTTCCCACGTCCCAAATTTTAAGTGAATGAGTAGAGAAACTTCTGGTTATCTTAAAGCAATATTTTTGAAAGTGTAATTTACTACTCCTGGAAAGACCTGGAATGGTCTTCTATAATAGTTTTATTTATTTATTTATATTTATTTTACCTTTACAATGTTTGCTGGGCTTTTTTTTTTTTTTTTTTTTTTGCATTTTTTTTGAGAAGGAGTCTCTGTCACCAGGTTGGAGTGGAGTGGTATAATCTCAGCTCACTACAACATCTTCCTCCTGGGTTCAAGCCATTCTCCTGCCTCAGCCTCCTAAGTAGCTGGAACTACTGGCATGCACCATCATGCCCAGCTAATTGTTGTATTTTTAGTAGAGACAGGTTTTCACCATGTTGGCCAGGATAGTCACGATCTCTTGACTTTGTGATCCACTCGCCTCGGCTTCCCAAAGTGCTGGGATTACAGGCGTGAACCACCACACACAGCCTATGTTTGTTTTTATTAACTTTTAAAAAAAATCAACTTTCATTTTAGATACAGAGGGTATATGTACAGATTTGTTACATGGGAATATTGTGTGAATCTGAGGTTTGGAATATGGATCCTATCATTCTGGTAGTGAGCATTGTATTCAATAAGTAGTTTTTTAAACCTACCCAACCCCTCTGCCCTCTAGTAGTTCACAGAGTATATTGTCCCGTACTTATGTTCATGTGTGTTCAACGTTTAGATCCTACTTATAAGTGAGAACATGCGGTATTTGTTTTTTTGTTCCTGCATTAATTTGCTTGGGATTATGGCCTTTAGCTCCATTCATGGTGCTGCAAAGGACATGATTTCTTTCTTTTTATGGCTGCATAGTATTCCACAATGTATATGTACCACATTTTCTTTATCCAGTCTACCATTGTTGAGCACCTGGGTTGATTCCATGTCTTTGTACTGTGAATAGTGCAGCAATAAACATGAGTGTATGTGTCTTTTTGGTAGAATGGTTTCCTTTGTGGGGGGTGGTGGGTGTATATGTCCAGTAATGGGATTGCTGGGTATCTTTGAGAAATCTCTAGACTGCTTTCCACAGTGGCTGGACTAATTTACACTTCCACCAACAGTATATAAGTGTTCCTTTTCTCTCCAGCCTCACCAGCATCTATTATGTTTTGACTTTTAGTGGTGGCCATTCTCACTAGTGTGAGATGGTATCTCATTGTGGTTTCAATTTGCTGACAAATACAAGCAATGGGAAAGGACTCCTTATTTAATAAATGGTGCTGGGATAACTACCCAGACACATGAAGATTGAAACTGGACTCCTACCTTTTGCCATATACAAAAATTAACTCAAAATGGATTAAAGATTTAAATGTAAGACCTCAAACTGTAAAAATCCTGGAAGGCAATGTAGGAAATATTCTTCTTGACATGGGCCTTGGCAAATAATTTTTGGCTAAGTCTCTAAAACCAATTGCAACAAAGCAAAAATTAGACAGATGAGACCTAATTAAAATAAGAGCTTCTTTCTGCATAGCCAAAGAAACTATCAACAGAGCCAACAGAAAGCCTATAGAATGGGAGAAGATAGTCACAAACTACACATCCAGCGAAGGCCTAATATCCAGAATCTACAGGAAATTAAAACAAATCAACAAGCGAAAAACAAATAACCACATTAAAAAGTGGGCAAAAGACACGAACAGACACTTCTCAAAAGAAGACATATAAGTGGCCAGCAAACGTGAAAAAATACTCAGCTTCATTAATTCTCAGAAAAATGCAAACAAAATCACAGTGGAATAGTTTTTATAGTTACATATTTTAAGTATATTCACAAATATGTATCTATTACATGAAATTAATGAGTTCACTATTGTTTGCAATGCAACTGTAACTATTTGAGTACAGGAGGTATGCAGTTACAGGCTTACCTTGGTTTATTGTGCTTCACTGCATTGTGCTTTGCAGATATTGCATTTTTTACAAATTGAAGGTTTTGTGGCAACTCTGTATTGAGCACGTCTATTCAGAACCATTTTTTCAACAGCATGTGCCCACTTCATGTCTCTGTGTCACCTCTTGTTAATTCTCACAATATTTCAAAATTTTCATTATTATTATATAGGCTCTGGTGATCTGTGATCAGTTATCTTTGATGTTACTATTGTAATTGTTTTGGGGCACCATGAGCCCTACCCATAGAAGATGACAAATTTAACAGATAAATGTTATGTGTGTGCTGATTGCGCCACAAACTGGCTGTTCCCTATCTCCTCCTGTCTTCTGTACTCTCTATTCCTTGAGACATAACAATATTAAAATTAGGCCAATTAGTAATGCTACAATGGCTTCTAAACGTTAAAGTAAAAGGACTAGTTAAACATTTCTCATTTTAAATCAAAAGCTAGAAATGATTAAGCTTAATGAGGAAGGCATGTCGAAAGTTGAGATGGACCGAAAGCTACACCTGTTGCACCAATTAGACAAATTGTTAACGCAAAGGAAAAGTTTTTGCAGGAAATGAGAAGTGCTATTCTGGTGAACACATAAATGATAAGAAAGTGAAGCAGCCTCACTGCTGACGTGGAGAAAGTTTTAAAACGGTTTTCTGGTCCGGATAGAAGATCAAACAGCCACAACTATCTTTTAAGCCAAAGGCGAATTCAGAGCTAGACCCTAACTCCCTCTTCAATTTTATGAAGGCTGTGCAGGTGAAGAAGTTGCCGAGGAAAAGTTTAAAGCTAGCAGAGGTTTCTGATGTTTAAGAAAAGAAGCCTCCTGGCCAGGCACAGTGGCTCACGTCTGTAATCCTAGCACTTTGGGAGGCTGAGGCAGATAGATCACTAGAGGTTAGGAGTTCGAGACCATCCTGGCCAACATGGTGAAACCCTGTCTCTACTAAAAATACAAAAAAAACTTAACTGGGTATGGTGATGGGTGCCTGTAATTCCAGCTACTTGGGAGGCTGAGGCAGGAGAATTGCTTGAATCCGGAAGGCGGAAGTTGCAGTGAGCTGAGATTGTGCCACTGCACTCCAAACTGAGTGAAAGACTGAGACATTGTCTAAAAAAAAGAAGTCTTCTCCATAACATAAAAGTGCAACGTGAAGCAGCAAGTATTTGTGATGACATAGAGGCTGCAAAAAGTTATCCTGAATATCTAGCTAAGATCACCGATGATAATGGCCACACTAAACAACGTATTTTCAATTGTAGAGGAACCAGCCTTCCACTGGAAGAAGATGCCATCCAGGATTTTCCTAGCTAGTGAAGAAAAGTCAATGGTTGGCTTCAAAACTTTCAAAGGACAGGCAGACTCTTTTATTAGGGGCTAATGCAGGTGGTGACTTGACGTTGAAGCCAATGCTCGTATACCATTCTGAAAATCCTAGGGCCCTTAGGAATTAGGCTAAATCGACTCTACCTGCGCTCTGTAAATGGAATGACGAAGCCTGGATGACAGCTCATCCGTTTGCAGCATGGTTTACTGAATATTTTAAACTCACTGTTGAGACTTTCTGCTCAGAAAAAAAAAAGATTCCTTTCAAAAGATTGCTGCTTGTTGAGAATGTACCTGGTCACCCAAGAGCTGTGAAGGAGATGTACAAGGAGATGGATGTTTTCATGTCTGTGAACACAGCATCTATTCTGCAGGCCATGGATCAAGGAGCGATTTTAACTCTCAAGTCTTATTCTTTAAGAAATCCATTTCATAAGACTATAGCTGTCATAAATAATTATTCCTCTGATTGATTTGAGCGAAATATTATAAATTGAAAACCTTCTGGAAATAATTTCACCTTTCTAGATACCATTAAAATCATGTGTGATTTGTGGGACGTCAAAATGTCAGCATTAATAGGAGTTTGGAAGAAGTTGATTCCAACCTTCCTGGACAACTTTGAGGGGTTCCTGACTTCAGTAGAGGAAGTAACTGCAGTTGTGGTCAAAGTAGCAAGAGAATTAGAATTAGGAGTGGGCCTGAAGCTGTGACTGAATTGCTGCAATCTCACGATCCAGCTTGAACAGAAGAAGAGTTTCTTCTTAGGGATGAGCAAAGAAGGTGGTTTCTTGAGATGGAATCTAACCCTGTGAAGATGCTGTCAACACTGCCGAAAAGAAAACAAAGGATTTAAAATATTCCATAAACGTGGTGGATACAGCAGCAGCTTTGAGAGGACTTGAGAGGATTGACTCCAATTTGAAGGAAGTTCTACCATGGGTAAAATACTGTAAAACGGGTTTCACATGCTATAGAGGACTACTTTGTCAAAGGCGGAGTCCATTGATGCAGAGAACCTCATTGTTGTGTCATTTTAAGAAATTCCCACCGCCACCCCAGCCTTCAGCAACCACCATTTTGATGAGTCAACAGCCTTCAACATTGAAGCAAGATCTTCTACCAGCAAAAAGATGACAATTCACTGAAGGCTCAGAGGATCACTGGCATTTTTAGCAATTAAGTATTTTTAAATTCAGGTATGTACTTTTTAGACATAATGCTGTTGCACACTTAAAAGATTACAATGTAGCGTAAACATGACTTTTATGTGCATTGGGAAACCAATTGATACAACTTGCTTTATTGCGGTGATCTGGAACTGAGTCCAAAATATCTCCAAAGTGTGCCTGTGGAGTACAATCTCTGAGGATGGAGTGTGAAGGACTGAAGATAAACCCTGAGCAAAGAGTGGTTAATATAATCTGGGACCCACTGCAAGTTTCAAGTAGAATGACCATTAGAGCAGAAGAGTGATGATCACTATTTTCCTCTCAATACCTTTTAGTATGCTGATCTTGAGTAAACACTGTAGAATTCTTGCCCCCCCTTCTGGTAAAGTGTATACATGCAATGTGTTCATGCTGAGTGAATGCATAGTTAAGAATTAGCAACACGTGGCCTCTCTAAATCCACATACTGTTTTCTTTTTGCTTCATCACCTCTTGATCCCTATAGCAGAAACTCTGTTGGTGAGGAAGGGCAAATCTCTAACAATCCCAGTGGTGCAAGGGGATTAGGTACTGCGGGCTTTGGAAATGCATTGCATGGCATCACAGATACGGACTGGGCTTGGAGCTACAGAGCCCCAAAGAAATGGACTACCATCTCACATAGTCCACCCTTTCCAGGAAAATATTTCATATGGTAGCATAGTATTCCCAGCGGTGCTGTTCTGTGGGCCTATATTGAGCTTATTTTGGACAGACATAACCAAGCATGAAGTGGCAACGTTTTAAGTTCCACAGCACTCTGACTGCATGAGACAGCGCTCTGACTATGAGAGACATCACTACCAACTGTTTCTGAGATAAAATGTCAAAAACTAGACCAGATGCAGTGGTTCATGCCTGTAATCCCAGCACTTTGGGAGGCTGGGGCGGGTAAATCACTTGAAGTTACGAGTTTGAGGCCAGCCTGGCCAACATGGTGAAACCCCATCTCTACTAAAAATACAAAAATTTAGGGCCGGGCGCGGTGGCTCACGCCTGTAATCCCAGCACTTTGGGAGGCTGAGGTGGGTGGACCACGAGGTCAAGAGATCGAGACCATCCTGGTCAACATGGTGAAATCCCGTCTCTACTAAAAATACAAAAAAATTTAGCTGGGCATGATGGTGCGTGCCTGTAATCCCAGCTACTCAGGAGGCTGAGGCAGAATTGCCTGAACCCAGGAAGCACTCCAGCCTGAGTAACAAGAGCGAAACTCTGCCTCGAAAAAAAAAAAAAAATTTAGCCAGGTGAGGTGGCAGCTCCCTGTAATACCAGCTACTCTGGAGACTGAGAGGCAGGAGAACCCCTGACCTGGGAGGCAGAGGTTGCAGTGAGCAGAGATCATGCCACTGTACTCCAGCCTGGGTGATAGATCAAGACTCTGTCTCAAACAAACAAACAAAAAGGCAAAAATTGTATCCAACTCTGGAGACTTCATTCCAAATTCTCAAATGCAAAGAATCACTGGTACTTTTTTTTTCTTTTGAGATGAAGTCTCGCTCTATCACCCAGGCTGGGGTGCAGTGGCACGATCTTGGCTCACTACAACCTTGGCCTCCTGAGTTCAAGTGATTCTCCTGCCTCAGACTCCCAAGTAGCTGGGATTACAGGCACCTGCCACCACACCCAGCTAATTTTTGTATTTTAAGTACAGATGGGGTTTCACCATGTTGGACAGGCTGGTATCGAACTCCTGGCCTCATGATCCACCCGTCTCGGCTTCCCAAAGTGCTGGGATTATAGGCGTGAGGCACTGTGCCTGGCAGAATCACTGCTGCTTCTTTGTAGGTAGGCAGCATGCCTTCAGTTTTCTCTAGATTTCCTCTGGCTACAGGGAAGTGTGATGGATCACACACAGGGACAAGTTGTAGTTAGTCCCTCGCACCTTGGGGGAAGCTGCATACTCAGCAGCTGCCACCATGTGCCTGCCTGGAAGTTACAAAAATACTGGCTGAAGAAAGAAGTAGTGATAAATAAAACAGGAGAAGCATAAGAAGCCTGGAAAATATACCAAAATAGGCAAGAAAAAAACTGGCAAAACATGTGCAATATATACTTTTGTTTTCCTCTTTCATTCTACAAACTCACCTTGCTCTCCTATTTCCTATATTTTGTTTGTGTAAATTATGTGTTTTATAGTTTCTCTTATTTTTCTTATCTAAACTGAGACAATAGTGACACACACTTGTTAATATCTTTTTTTTTTTTTTTTTTGAGATGAAGTTTCACTCTTGTTACCCAGGCTGGAGTGCAATGGCGTATTCTCGGCTCACTGCAACCTCCGCCTCCTAGGTTCAGGCAATTCTCCTGCCTCAGCCTCTCAAGTAGCTGGGATTACAGGCACGCACCACCATGCCCAGCTAATTTTTGTATTTTTAGTAGAGACGGGGTTTCACCATGTTAACCAGGATGGTCTTGATCTCTTGACCTCGTGATCCACCCGCCTCGGCCTCCCAAAGTGCTGGGATTACAGGTGTGAACCACCACCCCCGGCCCCCTCACACTTGTTAATATCTATGAGATATTGTGGTTTAAAATAAATGAGAAAATGAGAAAGTAGAAAAAATTTCATTTCCTTTGTTTATGTTTTTTCTGGTTTCTCAAAACAGTCATGAGGAAAGTTCCTTTTTAGTTCTGCTTCTGATTTTTTTTACACAACTGGATATCAATGTAATCTACACTTCTATAGTTTTAAAATGTGCCATATAGTTACAGTCATAATTATTAAAGAAACAAAATTTTACTCCAATTTGTAAGGAATCCACGGATTTTTCACAAATAGGGAGACTATAATAGGTTTCAAAAGCCATTGACTTGATTGGAAAACTAAGCAAATGTAGGTTATTTAAAAGATAAATTGAGTCTGTTGGAAAGGACTTTTTGATGCCATTAAACTAATTTTTAATTTTTTACTCATATCTACTAATAAGGTATATATTTTTATATGTAATTGAGACTCAGAAGTTGTTGTCGTCACTCTAAATCTAGACTTCTGTCCATTTTCTGTTAAAAAAGAGAGTAATTTATTGTGGTTATGTATATATATTATATATTATATAGTTATAATATATAAGAATAAAAACTGAAAACATTAACTCACAATTTAAATCAGAATTTTTAATTGCAACCTGATTATCCTTTCAACAATAAAAGTAATAACTAAGGAATCTGACCACATTGATAATAGGTTTAATATTCTTATTGTATTAGCCAAGCTTAAATCCCCTTACTTTTGAAAGGTGCTTCATAAATTGACTTAGAAGATGAAATTTTAGAATTAATTTGCGTATCTTATGTATCACAAGTAAATAATTACTCATTTTTCAGTGCCAAAAACCAGATCAGCATTTCAAACCCTATTTGACTCCTGATTTGCCAAAGCGACTACACTATGCCAAAAATGTCAGAATAGACAAAGTTCATCTCTTTGTGGATCGACAGTGGCTGGCTGTGAGGTTCGTGTATCTGTTTACTTATCTTGTAATGCCTTAAACAACCATCTGTCATTGTTAGTCTACTTAACCTTACCCTGCTATTATCATCACTGTGAATTTTCTTGAGCATTGACATTTTCTTGACCTTTTGCATGCTATTTAGCACTTCTGCATTTGAAGTTATTGTTATTAGATTGCTGATGTTAGCATTCTTATCTTCACAAAATAGGTAAGAATGAGGAGTAAGGCTAAGATTGTGTCTGGAGACTGTAAGTGCCAGTACCTTCCTATCCCCATTGTGGTGTCCATTAAGGCAGCAGGCAGATGGCATCCATTGTTTTTCAGCCTGATAGTGAGTGATTGATTAGACAACTCTTGTTTTGAGACAGTATTTCATTCTTATTGCCCAGGCTGGAGTGCAATGGCACAATCTCTGCTCACTGCTACCTCCGCCTCCTGGGCAAGCCATTCTTCTCAGCCTCCTGAGTAGCTGGAATTACAGGCACACGCCACTGAGCCTGGCTAATTTTTTGTGTTTTTAGTAGAAATGAGCTTTCTCCATGTTGGTCAGCCTGGTCTTGAACTTCCAGCCTGAGGTGATCTGCCCGCCTCGACCTCCCAAACTCTTTAAGACCTTTGTCATCTTTGTGGTTGTTATGAAAGAGCACATATACAGCTATAAGACCAAGCTAATGAATTTGTTATAACACTTATTTCTTATTTCTCTTTCTAATTGTAATTTTTGTTGATTATTGAACGTTTGCAAAAATATAAATGTGCTTAGAGAAAACAAAAACCATTATGACTCACTCCATCTTAAATAACCAATGAATTCATTGATTCAACAACATTTTATTGTATGCTTGCCATGTATGTGCCAGGCCCCATTCTAGACATTTGAGATACAGACCTGATTCCTGCTCTCATGGGGCATGTATTACAGTGGAGAAAACTGAAAATAAGCCACCAAACAAATAAACATACACTTTGTGATAGCCAAACTGATCATCCCTATTTGTGTATTTCATACCAGCATTTTTTTCCTCATGCCTAAGTAGATATAAAAAGTATTTGGACTTTATGGCATTTTCTGGCCTATTTAATATGTATAAATATAATGCCAAGGGGATAGAATGACAATGGCAATACAGTGGCTAAGACATATGTTTGACAAGGAAAAGGAGATGACACTTTGGGAGGCTGATGCAGGCAGATCACTTGAGGCCAGGGTTCGAGAGCAGCCTAGACAACATAGTGAAACACCATCTCTACTAAAAATACAAAAATTAGCTGGGCATCACGGTGGGTGCCTGTAATCCCAGCTACTCAGGAGGCTGAGGCAGGAGAATTGCTTGAATCTGGGAGGCGGAGGTTACAGTGAGCCGAGATTGTACCACTGCACTCCTGCCTGGGCAACAGATCACGATTCCATCAAAAAAAAAAAGGAAGGAAGGAAAGAAAGGAAATGAAAGGACGGGAAGAAGGGAAGGGAGGGCAGGAAAGGGGAGGGGAAGAGGAAGGGGAAGGGAAGGAAAGAGGAAAAGGAAAAGGAAAAGATGCAAGAAGACAAGGGACAAGGGAGAAGGGAATTAGGCTCCTCAATTTTCCTCAAGGGATAAGGAACTGGGGATTTGCCTAAGCCTGTTCTACAAAACTACCTGGAAACTCCTGCTCTTCCGGAGAGTGCAGTTTCACACTAGTTCACTAGATGGCACTGACTCCTCTCTTTGGGATCGAAGTTTATTAGCCCTTTGTATAGATGGTCAGCTGTGCTGTGGCTCAGGACATTTTCTAGAAAGTATTTTCCTTAAATATGTGAACCAAATTAAGCTCTAATAGTAAATATGCACAATTTTTAGTAATTTAGGTATGTAATAAATAAACAAATATATATTTAAATGGGGATATGTTCTCCAAGTATTTACTGTTAAGAGTCTGAGACCAAAGAAATTAGGTCACTGGTACAGAATGAGAAAGGGCTATAAAGTGAGAGTTCAGCCACCCACATACCTCTGGGTATCATGCATTAATACCCAATCTCAAATGAGCTGTTTGTTCTTTTAAAAACCAGCACTGAAATGTTAAAAGAGCTGTAGCCCAATAGTTCAAGGCTGAGCTCCCCACCTAGCTAGGTTGTGGGAACTTGGAAAAATTAATATCTTAGAGTCTCATTTTCCTCATGTGTAACACAAGATTAGCCTAGTTTTATTATCTTCTTTCCATTAACATACAAAGTAAACTTACTTACATCAAAGGAAATTTGGAATACAGCCTAAACAAGAGAGCAAGTGAAGCATCTAATCTGATAAAATCCTGGGTTCACTCTCTCTCCAACTCTTAAAACACAAGCCTCTGGCTGCTTATTTTCTAGTGAAAGTACATCATCTTTAGTAATAATATGCATTATTTGATAATTAGACTAGATCCCCTTTGCACAATTATAACAAATTTCAACAGTTTGTATACTCTATTTTCATCATTATCTTCATCTTTATTTTGCCTAAAATGTGTTAGATTTTACTAATTTGGGGAAACCTAATGTTTTGATGTAGTAGAAGTCTTATTAAAGTGCTTCTTTTTTCTTTTGTCCAGCCCCGCTCCTCTAAGGTGCTTTTTCAAAACAATGTGAATTTTAGCTTTTCATTTTGGAACAGCAACCAACAAATACATTCAGGTACCTGTTTAAGAACTAGAGATAACCAACAAAGTGCCCAAGCAAAGGATTTTGTCCAGGTAGGAAGATAACAGTGATAATCAGGTGGGATAAGTACTACACTAGAACCAAATACAAGACTCAAGTAAGCAAAAATTACAGACCCAGGTGCGAATGTCAAGTAGCATCAGACAATGCTTCCTGATAGGGGTGGTTGCTGATCGGGGTTTGGAAGACTCATGATGGGATAGGATATATATTGCTATACATATTGCCAGGTCTGCGCTGTGCAGTCTGCACGTTTTACAGTGGCATCCTGCCAACAAGGTGAGTGGGAGTGGAGAGCGAATCTTTGCTTAGCTCACCAAGCCTTAATGGGGCTGCAATGGCAAGAGGAAGGGGACCTGTTTGGTTTTTTTTTTTTTTCCAAGAGTACCATCTGCTTGCCAAGGCTTGAACACTGCCAAAAGGCACCTTCTGTTTTTTTGTTTTTTGTTTTTTTTGAGATGGATTCTTGCTCTGTTGCCAGGCTGGAGTGCAGTGGTATGTTCTTGGCTCACTGCAATCTCTGACCCCTGGGTTCAAGCCATTCTCCTGCCTCAGCCTCCCGAGTAGCTGGGATTACAGGCACGCACCAGCATACCCAGCTAATTTTTGTATTTTTAGTAGAGATGGAGTTTCACCATGTTGGCTATGATAGTCTCGATCTCTTGATCTTGTGATCCACCCACTTCGGCTTCCCAAAGTTCTGGAATTACAGGCATCAGCCATCGCACCTGGCCTCAGCACCTTTTTAAAGTGAGCAGCCGCTCTAGAAAAAGGAAGGGTAAGGAGAAGGAGGTAGATTTCCAAATGGAAGAACTAGCTTTCAGCAGTTGCAAGTAGTTCTGTATTTCTGGAGCACTGAGTGCATGAAGCCTTCATGTGTATGAAGGACCTTATCTGAAATGACTAAGGAGCGTGACTTTGATCTCAAAGAAAGTAGGCCGTTGATAGATATAGGTGGCTTGAGGTGAATATAATGATATTTGTTTCTGGAGAGTTCCTTTGAGGTGCTACATGAACTAGGATGGTCTAGTGCAGTGGTCCCCAACCCTTTTGACACCAGGGACTGGTTTCATGGAAGACAGTTTTTCCAGGGATGAGGTGGGAAGGAGGGATGGTTTCAGAATGATTCAAGCACATGACATTTATTGTGCACTTTATTTCTGTTATTATTACATTGTAATATATAATGAAATAAATATACAACTTGCCATACTATAGAATCTATGGGAGCTCTGAACTTGTTTTCCTGCAACTGGATGATCCTATATGGGGGCAATGGGAGATCATCATTAGATTCTCAGAAGGAGCACACAACTTATATTCCTTGCATGTGTAGTTCACAATAGGGTTCATGCTTCTATGAGAATCTAATGCCACTGCTGATCTCACAGGAGATGGAGCTCAGGTGGTAATGCTCACTGGCCTACCACTCACCTCCTGCTGTATGGGCCTGGTTCCTTACAGGCCACAGGCAGGTACCGGTCCATGGCCCACAGTTTGGGGACCCCTAGTATAGTGTGAAACAGGAAAACTTGTTAGAAAGCTATGTAGTGGCCCATTCTTGGGCATGATAGCAGCCCCAGGGGAGCCCATGAAGCTAGGGGGATGGTGAAACTGGTTGGAGTGTACCACTGGGAAGGTATTATGGTTCACTGAGAAGCCATAGTTCTTAGGATAGTCTTGCTTTTATCGTATTCAGTCCTACGTTTGTTCTCATTAAAACATGGGCTTTTATTTCCAGCAATGTTAAATAAGATTAGGTGTGTGTGTGTGTGTGTGTGTGTGTGTGTGAGCGTGTGTGTCTGAGAGGGAAGATTCAGAAGTTCTGAAGGCAGGATGATCTATCGGGAACTTGTTTAGGTCAGAGGTAATGAGGATCCAGCTTAGAATGGTGGCAGTAGGCCAGGTGTGGTGGCTCACGCCTATAATCCCAGTACTTTGGGAGGTTGAGGTGGGTGAATCACCTAAGGTCAGGAGTTTGAGACCAGCCTGGCCAACATGGTGAAACCTCGTCTCTACTAAAAATATAAAAATCAGTCAGGCGTGGTGGCAGGCGCCTGTAATCCCAGCTCCTCAGGAGGCTGAGGCAGGAGAATCGCTTGAACCTGGGAGGCGGAGCTTGCAGTGAGCCAGGATCACACCATTGCACTCCAGGATGGGCAGTGAGACTCTGTCTTAAAAAATATGGTGGCAGTAAAAGAGGAAAGGAAAGAACAAACAGGAGAGAAACGCACAGGAAGCCAGGGCTTGGCAACTGATCTGGCATCAGGAGAGAGGCCTTGCTCATCTCCCACCTGTGTCATTACCCAGCTGCGGTAGAGAACCCCACCTTGATTTCAACTGTGTTAATTAGACATGGGGAAGATAATGGAGAATTTGTTCCAAAATATTTCATACAGGACTTGGAAGTTGAGCAAAATTATGACAGATAAAATCAACTCATTTTCCAAGTGCCAGCTACTGTTGTTCCATATGTAACTTCCAGAGCCAATTTAATGATCAGAAGACATGAACAGTTAGAGAGCAAATTCCCAAAGTTTTTACTTGGAAATAAATAGAAAAATAGAGCTTTTCAAACAATATTTTAATCTTTGCTTCTGAATGAAATTTTGCGATATTTACTATAGTATTTAAATTGAGCTGGATTAGGAGACGGAAACTTATTTTTTAAAAAAACAGATGTTTCTGAAAATAGAAAAATAACCATAGAATGAACATTAGAAAATTTACTAGAAAACTTAGTTCAGAAAACCTTTTTGTTTCTTTCATTAATGAAAGTTCTAGCTTTCCACGCAGAATTTAAAGCTCCTACTAAATAATTCCAGTAACATTGGGTAACCAAATATCTATGCAGTAAGAATAAAAACATTTATTTATTTATCTAAAGATGTTAAAAAAGCATATTTATTTATAATTAAAAAATAGAGATGGAGTCTTGCTATGCAGTGGAGGCTGGTCTCAAGCTCCTAGGCTCCAGCGATCCACCGCCTTGGATTCCCAAAGTGCTAGGATTACAGCTGTGAGCTGAGAATCCTGCGATTACATGCCCAGCTGAGAATAAAAACACTTATTAAAAGCTATTGTTGGGGCTGGGTGTGGTGGCTCACACTTGTAATCCCAGCAGTTTGGGAGGCCAAGGTAGGCAAATCACTTGAGGTCAGGAGTTCCAGACCAGCCTGGCCAACATGGCAAAACCCTGTCTCTGCTAAAAATACAAATAAATTAGCTGGATGTCATGTCCCATGCCTGTAGTCCCAGCTACTCGGGAAGCTGAGGCAGGAGAATCGCTTGAACCCAGGAGGTGGAAGTTGCAGTGAGCTGAGATTACACCACTGCACTCCAGCCTGGGTGACAGAGTGAGACTCTGTCTCAAAAATAAATAAATAAATAAATAAATAAATAAATAAATAAATAAATAAAGCCTATTGTTGGCATAGTTTTACCCTATGCCAGCAATTTTATTGGAATTAACTAAGATAAGGACATGACGTGACATCCTTAGGGTATCAAATCTAATATCTTTATGAAGCAGGACTCGTCTTGCTTTCCCCATTCCAGGTACTTACCTGACCTCTCTTTTCTTCCCTCTACTGGGTAGAGTTGAGTGAGTGTGGAGTAGTCAGAGTTGTGATTTATTTTTTAATTTGTGATTTTTGTTTTCTATTTAAACTGAATTAGAGTCAGTTATGATTTTTTTAATGTTGATTTTTTAAAGACACTAAATTACTGTCCTGTTCTTAGTTGAGCTGTCAGTGTAAAAACAACAGAAACCCTGGATGAGTTTGTGTGTGTGTGTGTGTGTGTGTGTGTGTGTGTGTGTGTATTTGCCCCTGGGGTGAGAGGTCAGGGTGGGGAAGCACATGAGAGAAACCTTTTAGGACCAGCCTTGGGAAATAGGAGTCCTTCATTCCCTTCAGAGACCAAATTTGACCCAGTATAACATTGTTGCTTTAAAAGATCTAGGATCATTTATCACTATTTTCCAAATATGAAAACCAGCTACTTATAAAATTGTTAACACCGCTCAATTTAAAAAAGTATTAAAATGTAGGCAAAAGCAAATTAATTAAATTTGAAAAGTTATTCAAATAAAACAGCCTATGGAAGAAAATCACAAAAGGTAAAGATAATAATAATAATAATCTCTGAACTTACAGAATATACTAGCTTCTTTTTACCAAGTAGTTACATGTTGTATAAAACAACATTTTGGTCAACAACGAACTGCTTATGTGATGGTGCTCCCATAAGATTTTAATATATTTCTACTATAACTTTTCTATGTTTACATGTGGTTAGATACACAGCTACTTACCATTATGTTACAACGGCCTACAGTATTCAGTACAGTAATATGCTGTACAGGTTTGTAGCTAGGAGCCATAGGCTAGATCACATAGCCCAGACGTGTAGTCCGCTGCACCATCCAGGTTTGTGCAAGTGCACTCTGTGATGTTCCCACAAGGATGAACTTGCATAAGAATTCATTTCTCAGAACATATTCCTGCCTGAAGCAACCCATGACTGGATTATAATTAAGTTGCCCTGCCTCTTCTTTATTCATGCTTTCATATTATTTTCCTAGACATCTTCATTGGTAAACAGAAATTGATATTTTTTCCCCAGTTGCAAAGATTTATTTCTAAAGCATTGAAATGCTAAAATAACATGTTAACCAAATTATTCTTCAGCATGTAGTCATTGATGTGTAAAGGTACACACATGAATTTGAAGACAAATGCATTTTTTAAGAAATCTGTGCTGGCCAGGCACAGTGGCTCATGCCTATAATCCCAGCACTTTGGGAGGCGAAGTCAAGCAGATCATGAGGTCAGGAGATCAAGACCAGCCTAGCTAACATGGTGGAACCCCGTCTCTACTAAAAATACACACACACAAAAATTAGCCTGATGTGGTGGTGCACGCCTATAGTCCCAGCTACTTGGGAGGCTGAGGAAGGAGAATGAATTGCTTGAAACTGGGAGGCAGAGGTTGCAGTGAGCTGAGATCATGCCACTGCACTCCAGCCTGGCAAGAGAGCGAGGCCTTGACTTAAAAAAAAAAATCTGTACCTTTATTATTAGCCTTTAGTTGGTATCTAACAGGCAGAAACTTTTAAATTCTATTTATAGATCCTGGAATTTTCCTTTCTTCTCTCCTACCCTTCTGTTTCTTCCATTATGGTTATGAATTTGAGCATGAAAATAAATATATTTATGCCACTGTTGATAGAAAAATTTACTTACATAAAAGCAGAAACTATATGAAATTCATTAAAGCTTACAATATGGTCTCATATCAATACATTGATCAACATGTAATAACATTTTTTCTTTATAGGAGTAAATCAAGCACATATTGTGGAGGAGGCAACCATGGTTATAACAATGAGTTTAAGAGCATGGAGGTAACTTACTGCTTTTTTTTTAACTTTTAAGTTCAGAGGTGCATGTGCAGAATGTGCAGGTTTGTTACATAGATAAACATCCATCATGGGAGTTTGTCCTACAGATAATTTCATTACTCAGGTGTTAAGCCTAGCTATTACTTTTTTAAAAAAGATATGTATGTATTGCACACCTATTTTATTATAGGCTATGTTCAAGACTCTTGAATACATCTATGAACAAAACAGATTAAGATCCTGCCCTCATGAAGCTTTTATTCTAAGGGAGGGTACAGACAATAGGAATAATAAATTAATATATTATTTGCTATGTCAGCTGATAAGCGCTATGGGAAATAAAGAAAAAGTAAAGGAGAATAAGAAAGGAGTTGGGAGTATTTTGAGGTACCCTGGAAGCAGTATGCAACTTTAAATAGGGTGGAAAGAGTAAGAGTCATTGAGTTGACATTGAACAGAGACTTGAAGGAAATAAAAGAATTCGCCCTTCAAATATTCAGGAGACAAGCGTCCCAGGAAGAAGAAACAGCCCCTGTAAAGGCCCAAAATTGGGAGTGCACCAGAGTCTATGAGTAGAATGCAGCTGATAATTCCCCATACGTAAAGCTTTGCAACCTGATTATCTCATCTATTTCCATATGTAACACACAGACACACAGCCACACACACACTCCTTTACAAATTAAAACAAAATGTGTTAGGCTTTTTATGAATGTTTCCTTTTATTATAACATTGTCATGGTGAGTTAGATCTTTTTGTAAATATTCCGAAAAAAATCTCTAGAAAAAGAGCTTTACTATATTGGGGTACTATATAATAGTTAAATTAATTATTGTAAGACAAATCTATGCCTCCAATTCTTTGATTACATATATATATATATATATATATATATATGTATATACACACCTGTTATCGAAACATAATTGCTTACCTATGTTTGATACTTTTCTTCTGTTTACAGTCTAAAACAATTTGATCTGTTATAAATAACATAATCAAGTTAACATTGATTAATTCAATGTAAACCAAAATGTTTAGGTCATTCTGTCCCAAAAGGAAAACAGAGAAGTATAAGAGTGTCAGGAAGTTGCACCAAAATTCAGTGTTTAAAAATGTCAACATTTGGCTGGGTGTGGTGACTCATGCCTGTAATCCCAGCACTTTGGGAGGCTGAGGTGGGAGGATCACTTGAGGCCAGGAGTTCAAGACCAGCCTAGCCAACATGTTGAAACCCTGTCTCTACAAAAAAATTAGCTGGGCGTGGTAGCCCACACCTCTAACCCCAGCTACTCAGGAAGCAGAGGCTTCAGTGAGCAGAAATCACACTCTAGGCTGGGCGACAGAGTGAGACTTCATCTAAAAACAAAGTTAACATGTTTTATCATGTATTAACATATTTGATTATGGATGTGAAACAATATGAAAAGGTAATATGATGTTATATGATTAAATTTCTACTAAATATTGTGCACATGCTGTAAATTATGCTGATAGTGGTTGTGTGCTATTGTTCATATTCTCCTGCTTTGTTGGTACATAAGGTGCTTCAGAGGTGGGTAGAGATAGAAGTAAAGTTAGCATTGATTCACTTTGGGAGGCTGAGGCAGGTGGATCATGAGGTCAAGAGATCAAGACCATCCTGGTCAACATGGTGAAACCGCGTCTCTACTAAAAATACAAAAACTTAGCTGGGCACGGTGGCACATGCCTGTAATCCCAGCTACTCAGGAGGCTGAGGCAGGAGAATTGCTTGAACCCAGGAGGCAGAGGTTGCGGTGAGCCGAGATCGCACCATTGCACTCCAGCCTGGGTAACAAGAGCGAAACTCCGCCTCAAAAAAAAAAAAAAACAACAAAAAAGATAGCATTGATTATATTTGATTGGGATTGGTACAACATCACAGGTGGAAATAATATGAGAATTGTTTACAAAACTGAACAAAAAAGTCCTTACAGAGACCTAAAACAAATAGGAGAATAGTTTCAGAATGAAAACTGCGTCTCTTCCTATATATATTTTTAATTTTAAATGACATGTAATAGCAATATGACTATTACTATCTAGGCTATCTTTCTGGCACATGGACCCAGTTTTAAAGAGAAGACTGAAGTTGAACCATTTGAAAATATTGAAGTCTATAACCTAATGTGTGGTAAGTATATTTAAATAAATTGACAAGCAAAATGTGGACAGTTTTAAATATATGTCATTTGAAATTGGTAGCAAACTGAATCCCAGAGGCTGAATACTCTGTAGTGAGAAGGCAGAAAGTAAAAAACATGAGAAACAATTATTCATTATTCAGAATTATTCAACTATAAGAGTGAATTATTTTTGTTTTACTAGTAATGGTAAACTTTATTTTTATTTTTGAGATGGAGTCTTGCTTTGTCACTCAGGCTGGAGTGCAGTGGTGTGATCCCAGCTCACTGCAACCTCCGCCTCCCAGGTTCAAGTGACTCTCCTGTCTCAGCCTCCTGAGAAGCTGGGATTATAAGCATGAACCACCATGCCCGGCTACTTTTTTTTTGTATTTTTTGTAGAGACGGTGTTTCACCATGGTGGCCAGGCTGAACTCAAACTCCTGACCTCAAGTGATCTGCCCACCTGGCCTCCCAAAGTGCCAGGATTACAGGAATGAGCCACCACTCCAAGCCAGTAATGATAAACTGTACATCTCAGAAGACCAACCTTTTCTATTAGTTACTAGATGATAATTTAATTTAATTTAATGAAATTTAGGTAAATTACACTTCCAACTTTTCAAAGCAAGACAAACATACCTAAAAACACAAACATTTTCTTGTAATTGCGAAGAGAAGCTCTCTGGCATAAAAACATGGGCGAAGAGTTGGAGAGACACTTGTTATTATACTCAATGTTTAAAAACCTTAAAGCATTAGGATTTTCAGATGCCTAGCCTCCCTTCCTACCTTCATGCTTGCTGTAGGACATTGTATCAACAAACCATTTATTTATCTACCAAGGCAATGAAGAAGTTGCAATTTCACTGTTAGCTTTAGAAATTTGGACATAAACCTGCTTACAACTGTCTCTCTTAATCTTGTCATTGGCTTGTGGTAATTGAATGTGACTTAGAGATCAAAAGTATCTATTTTTTAAAATGGTGTATTGTAGCCTTAACAACTTACATTCTTGTTCCTCACAGCAAGGTTTATGGTCTGGACGGTTGGCCCTTTGCAGAACTGGCTAGAAGGAACTAGACAGGACTTCATTCCCAGGAGAGATCTGTTAGGTGGCAGGCGGTCAGCAGGAATTACTTAAAAGGCTATGTTGGTGAAATATTTGTATGTTTCATAGAAACTTACGAATATGTTTTGTATCATGTATTTTCTTTTTTTTTTTTATATTAAGGCTAGTCAAGTGAAGCAGTGGGAGTGGAGAAGGAACAAAGAAATCTGTAACCGGTTGTGATCAATTAGCTGTAAACACCACTGCACTCGGACCAGCCGTATTATGTATTTTCATAGAAAAAAGCTCTCTGAATATTAAGCAGAATTCACGAGTTCCATTTTTTTTAAAAGTGTCTGTCTTTAGAGAGCTTTTATATATAAGTAAATATACTACAAGGAAGATTATAAATTATTTAATTTCTTTACACTTGTTTTTATTAAGAATATGGCTTTTTATGCCGGCAAATCATGATATGCTTAAGAAACAAAGTGATTATTTAGGGAAGCTTTTCTTTGGAGAAACAGAAGCCATTCATGAAAGTTCCTCTGACTCATCAGCAGTGACTGCTCCCATTCCTTATTGATTTCTAGAGATGGGGTCGCAGTTTGTCGCCTAGGCTGGCCTCAAACTCCCAGGATCAATCAACCCTCTTGCCTCAGCCTCTTGAGTAGCCAGGACTACGGGTGCACTGCCACACACAGGTAGTTCCTATTCTTTAGAAAGACTAAGTGTTTGAAACCATGGAGAAGAAAAACCAGTAAACTGAATGGCATATGCACTCCGCAGCTTCCTTACAGCAGAATTTAGTAAAGGTAGTGAAAGAGCAGATGCTTGTTTCTTCCCATCTCCCATAGAGGAGTTGTTGCTTTCCAATTTAAAGCAAATTTGAATTAATGTTTTTAAAAACAGATCTTCTACGCATTCAACCAGCACCAAACAATGGAACCCATGGTAGTTTAAACCATCTTCTGAAGGTGCCTTTTTATGAGCCATCGCATGCAGAGGAGGTGTCAAAATTTTCTGTTTGTGGCTTTACTAATCCAGAGCCCACAGATTCTTTGGACTGTTTATGCCCTCACCTACAAAATGTAAGTAACAACTTCATGCATCCATAAGAATGTAAAGGGGCAAGCTATTCTTAACCTGGTAGTCAAAAACTGTGGTGGCGACAACCAGGTTTGTGTTCTGGCTTGCATACTTACGTAGTAAATATACATGGTTTCTCTGAACCTTAACTGGAAACAGGAAGTGAGCATGCATACATTATAAGATTAAGTATGGAAACATGCTTTGTAAACTGGAAAGCACTGTTTGGTCATTGTTAATGTCATTATAAGCTAACTGTCCTTCACCTTTCAATATAGTCATCTTTGAGCTGTTTCCAATTTCCCTTATAAACCATTCTTCCTGTAATTTATGAATCAGAAGTTCATGCCTGGTTATGTAGAGCAGAAAAAACTGGGAGGATGTAGGGATTGTAAGCTGCTGTTTGACACACTCACTAGGGTAGGTCCTGTGGGGTATTCCTTTGGGCAGCAGGGAAGAATCTGGCTGACGGTTGACAGGGAAGGTCTTTTTAGTAGATCAGGCTGAGTTCAGCAGCAGGACTTCAGATCCCAGGAGACTTTCAATAAGGTGAGGTTTTAGTGCTAGGAGAGTCCCCAAGGGCAAGGAGTCATAACCGGAGCTCAATATATAAAGACCAAGCCTGTTTGTGAGAATCAGAGCATCTGGATGGAGTTGGGGTTTCAGAGTGAAATTGGAGCCCAGTTATCAGGAGTCCATCAAGCTAAAGTTAATGTCAAGGGACATTTGATTCCAAGTTCCAAATGTGTTTGTAGAGTTAAATAAAAACACCTGCTGCCTCAGGTAAGAATTTTTCCTTATAGTGAGAAGTAGGTGAAAACATCACGATCTCTAATCTTCAAAATAGCATTATACCACAGAAATAAATAAATAATCAACCAAAGGGGCTTTAAGGGACAAAAGCTTAGCAAACTTCTCAATGAAAATCAAACTCACCACAAAGATCAGAGTAAGGAGGCGGGTTTCCTACTGACTGCTCCTGATAACCTCAATCAAATTGCCGTAAAAGTCAATAATAACATTACATAGTGGGTATGTTAGTTCTCATTTTAGAGATAAAGCATGCTCAGAGAAGTTAGGTAAATTGTCCAAAGCCAGAAAAGCTTGGTCTATCTGACTGCAAACTCCAAGTTCCATGTAAAGAATGCCTCTTGCTATTCAAAGTGTGGTCCCAGGACCAGCATCTGCATCACTTGCAAATTGGCTAGAGACGCAGAGTCTCAAGCCCTACCCTAGGTTTACGGAACCAGAATCCATGTTTTAACAAAACCTTCAAGTGATTGTGTGCATATGAAAGCTTAAGGAGCACTAGGATGTTGCCATCCCACCCAACTTAGTCATTGATTCCAGCAGTGATCAGAATGCTTTGCCCCATTATCAATTGTATTTTTGCAAATTCTCTCTCTCTCTCTCTCTCTCTCTCTCTCACACACACACACACACACACACACACACACACAAATGATGCAGGGAGCAGCAGTATATTTTTTAATAGTGGCAGAATTAGAATCTAAGCTTAGCCTAACTTCTTTGATAGTACAACACTTAATTGATTACTACAGAAATAATCTTGATTACCCTTTAAAACACGTATTGTTACTTTGACTTATTTCCCTTTCCCATCCCCCATTATCTTGCAGAGTACTCAGCTTGAACAAGTGAATCATATGCTAAATCTCACCCAAGAAGAATGTAAGTCAATAGAAAACATGTTAAGTCTTTGATATTTAGACCTAACAAAACACAGCATTGCCCTTTTAGGACTCTCCAAAATAAGCTGACAGAGGTTCTTGAACATAAAGATTTTATTGCCAATATACAGAAGGTTAAAAAAAGAAAACAACCCACAACAGATATAATGATAATAGTACAAGCATGGGGCATTTCCAGTGATTCCAGGAACATAATGAATTCCTTGAAGTGGCTGTGACTCATCTGCAACCCTCTATTTCCTTTCCTTAGATGTAAGCATACTGAACTGCCTGAGTTTGAGTCCTACCTCTGTGCTTCCTGGTTGTCTAATCTGGGGCAAATCACTTATCCTCTTTGTGCCTCAGTCTCCTCATCTGTAATAACTGCACTCACCTCATGTAGTTGTAAAAATTTTTAAAGTTAATACATGGAAAGAGTTTATAATTGTGCCTGGCTTGTAGCAATATTTTATTACCTGTTATCTTTTAAGTATTCTTGTATAAATTCACTCTGCTTCAGATTCATCACTTATAAAATGGGAATACCTACTTTATAGAGTCGCTATGAAGATTATATGAGTTAATATAAGTGCCTGGCCTATAGTTAAGAGCTTAGTAAATGTATTAGTTGTTTTGATAATCTTATAATCTGCCATGTGTTATTCCCATGGTATGAATAGCCTGCAGGTTTTTAATGCATCACTAACTGATCGATTTTTAAGAAGCATACAAGTAAAAGTAAATAAATGCATTAAAATGTTTTAGTCCATTCAGGTTGCTATTAGGTTGGTGCAAAAGTAATTGTAGTTTTTTTCTTTTAAAAATAATGGCAAAACCTGACAGGGCATGATGGCTTACGCCTATAATCCCAGCAATTTTGGAGGTTAAGGCAGACAGATCATTTGAGGTGAGGAGTTCAAGACCATCCTGGCCAACATGGTGAAGCCCCATCTCTACTAAAAAAAAAAAAAAAAAAAAAAAAAAAATTAGCTAGGCATGGTAATGTGCCCTTGTAATCCCACTTACTCAGGAGGCTGAGGTAGGAGAATTGTTTGAACCCAGGAGGTGGAAGCTGCAGTGAGCCAAGATCACACCACTGCACTCCAGCTTGGGTAACAGAGCAAGACTTGGCCTCAAAAGTAATGGGAAAAATCGCAGTTACTTATGCTCCAACCTAACATAACAAGATACCATAGACTAGGTAGCTATGGTACCACAGAAATTACTTCTCATAGTTCTGGAGGCTGGGAAGTCCAAGATCACATTGCCAGAAGATTTAGTTTCTGATGAGGGCCTGATTTCTCATAAAGGGACTTCTCACTCTGAGCTCATATAGTGGAAGAAGTGAAGGTATCCCTGGGGTCTCTCTGATAACAGCACTAATCTTGCTCATGACCTAATCACCTCCTAAAGGTCCCACCTCCTAATACCATCAACTTTGGGATTGGGATTTCAACATAAACATTTTAGAGAGACATAAACATTCCGATTATAAGACATATGTTCATAAAATTCCAACATCTTTTCTATGACAGTTACTAAAGCAGGTCATCTTTGTTACAAAGTATATACTTTTGATTTTGAAGGTTTTACCTCTTCATATACGTCCTCTGAGCTGTAAAATATAAGGAATCACAGAGGGCAGGCTTCAGATTCTTGCTTAGGCTCTTGCTTGGCCAACTTACTTATCTAAGCCTTAATTTTATAATCTGTAAAATGGAGTAATAACATTATTATTATTATTATTATTAATTATACATAGGATTGTTTTAAGAATTGAAAGGATAAATATGTAAAATATTTGTTAGAGTACTTATCATATAATGAGTCATGAGAGTGGTAGTTATATGGGTAGTTATTACATGCAAAGAAGCATTTGCTAATTTCATGAATCTTTTTATTTTATGTTATTTTAATTTTAGTAACAGCAACAGTGAAAGTAAATTTGCCATTTGGGAGGCCTAGGGTACTGCAGAAGAACATGGACCACTGTCTCCTTTACCACAGGGAATATGTCAGTGGATTTGGAAAAGCTATGAGGATGCCCATGTGGAGTTCATACACAGTCCCCCAGTTGGTAAGTCCCTGAGTCCATTGATCCATGGAGGCAAGAAATATTTATAATCCTTTAATATTCTAAGAATTGAATCTTGTTTTACAGTAGAGATCCAAGGGAGGGAACTCACTGGCCTATACCTTGTAAGACAATGTGCAAGTAGTATAAAAGGTTTTTATAGGAGCTACATGGGTGCAAAAGAGGAACACATTATGTTTTGCCTGGAGAAAATGGAAAATGTTTACAGGCCAATTGGCCAATAGGTGAGGCAGGTAGAAAAGAACATTTTAAACAGAAGCAATGGGGAGTACAGGGGTATACTATTCATTTAACCTTCCCCAAGTATATTGTGGTTGCACATAGAAGGTGATGATAACTAGATTATAAAGGGCTTTGTATTTATTTGATTATTTAACAAGTACTTTACTATTTGTTGTGTGTTATAGTAGGCACTAGATATACAAGGTGAATAAGATGCAGTCCTTCTCTGAAGGATGTAGCACTAGTAAGTCAGGCTAGATTTACATGGACAGATGCATTATGTCACAGATCTACAGGCTGAGGTTGAGGTCCACTTGTTTAAAGCCCCTTCCCTCTTCACTGTCTGGCAAACTCTCTTGCACTAAGTAGTGCAAGGACAGTTGACTACCCTTCAGGAAGAAAATAGTAGATCCCTACCTCAAACCACAAAAAATTAAAATGTTGGTGGATTTGTAGACATAAATAGAACAGCAAGTCCGTATTCCCTTTGTGCATATCTTTATGATCTTGGGATAGAGAAGGCTTTCTTGGGACAAAGGAAGAACAACATTAAAAATGCAGAGGAAATTGATTAATTTGACTACATTAACATTAATGTGTGACAAAATAACAATGTTGGAGATGGAACAATACATTTGCATTGCACATAAGAAACAAGTTAGGAATATCCAGAATTGTAATTAGATTCAGAATAGCTAATAAATTTTTACCAATCAACAACAGAATGACAAGCATTTTAGTTACTACATGAACAAAGGATAGAAGCCAAACAATTGAATCTCATTAGCAATAAGAAAAATGTAAATTAAAACAAAACTTAGGGCCAGGCACAGTGGCTCACACCTGTAATCCCAGCACTTTGGGACGCCGAGGTGGGCGGGTTGCCTGATGTCAGGAGTTTACCAGCCTGGCCAACATAGTGAAACCCGTCTCTATTAAAAATACAAAATTAGCCAGGCAGGGTGGCACATGCCTGTAATTCCAGCTACTTGGGAGGCTGAGGCAGGAGAATCGCTTGAACCTGGGAGGAGGAGGTTGCAGTGAGTCAAGATTGTGCCATTGTACTCCAGCCTGGGCAACAAGAGTGAAACTTGGTCTCAAAACAAAACAAAACAAAACAAAACAAAAAACAGCAACAAAACTTAAAGTATGCCAAAAGTCAGTCCAAACACAAGAAGGGGCAGGGATGTTTTTATTTAATGCATCCTCAGTACAATAGAATGGCCCAGTAAATGCTTATTGAATGAAATGCATTGAATGAATTAACCACAACCATTATTTTTAGACTTTTAAAGACAAAGCTATGCCACCCACCAAAGGAGAAAATAATCAGGGAGCTGTTTTTACAGAGAAAATCTTAGTGTTTTAGATCCAGAGACTGATGACAAACTTACAGCTGTCACTGTTTTGCTAAGAGTACCACCTCTTTTTTGGAAAGGAAATAATGGGTGGCCTCAGTTTATCTACTCTTCCTGTTCCCATTCAAGATTTTTGGAGAAAAATAAGCATATTTTCCTATTACTAATTAAAACTTTGTATATTCTAAGAGCCAGCTCTGTTGCTGTCAATGGTTCAGTTGGGGTCACTAGTAACAGTACTAATGTTTGTTTCCCAATGTGGACAAATATTTTACCAACAGTTACCTGAGTTCACATGTCCAGTTGGTGGCCACATTACTTTCTTAATATGCACAATGTTCAGTTCGTGATTTTCTTCAACATAAAACGTTCCTTAAAATAACTTCTATTTTGTTATTGTTTTCGAGAAGAGTGGTATTCTCAGGGTCAGTCCCATTACTTAATTCTCTGTTTTGAAAATTCCAGGTATGAGGGATTGTGTGGCATTAAAGGGAGTGTTTATGTTTTTAATACTTTTCCCCTGCTGTCTTGCATTCCTGAATTTTTACGAGCTTCGTCGGAAACCAAAGGCAGAGAGATTCTAAGTGGACTCAGACTAGGATTTTAGTACAATTCTTCTTTGTTATTGTTTTAAAACTAGCTTCTTTGTTACCAAATTTCCTGTCCTTTCACTGATCCCACAGAAGTACTTGTGTATTTCTCCATCCATGTGACAGGATGGAATTCTAGCAATTTTCTGCTTTCTAATTCAGAAATTACTCTGTTAGTGTGTTGTGGTTCAAGAAAATTACATACAAGGATGTTTTGGGATTCACATTAAAATGTTGTAAATCAGCTCTGTGTTTCAAAAAAATCAGGCTTTAAATAAGCACTTTTTGGAACATGAACCCAATTGGCCTGAGCCTTTAAGTTTTATGGAGCTTTTGTTTTTCTGTGGTTTTGGTGGGTTTTCTGATTTTTATTGTTATCTCAGAAGAGTTGTGGGGAAGTAGTTGTGATTTGAAATCACGGTCCTAGAACAGCTGTTTCAAAACCGTTAAGGTTGTTCAGGCTGTACGTAGAGTTTGCCTCTGGGCCTGTTCAGAAGGAAGATATAAACTAGTGTTTCTGTGGCTAGGTGAAAAATTGAAAATAAGAGCAAGAATTGTGATTATTGTTTAAAGCAGATGTTGCAGAATTTAATATGAAATCAAATAACTTTTCACAGTGTACTTTGAAAAATGTCCCTCTCTCTCCCTATGTATTTATGTATCTGTCTATCTGCCTATCTCTATCTTTCTATTTATCTATCTATAGTCCTATCTATGTGTCAATCTCCATATCATTCCATGTTAAAAAGCCTTTATTCTTCTTTCTAAAGATTATTTTGTGAGTCTTTAAAATAGGGGCATTATTGTGTTGTGCAAACATTTTTGAAGTATGAAAAATTATTTTTCCCTATAAAAAATTATTCAACCAAATAATTAAAAACATACATAGTTATTATCCTTACCGTAAGGCAAAATTGTAACTATCTCATATTCAAATAAGTAGGTTTTAGCTTGTACATTCAGCCTACAGTTTAAGAAGCATCTGTAACTTCAATAGAAATAATTCTATCCTCTGTTCAAGTTCTGTTTTGTTTCAATGCCAGACTAAAAGTACAAGCGGCTCACGTTCCTGTCTGCGCTCATTATTTACTTCTCCAGAAAGATTTTGAGAGCTAAGAAGTTCATATTTCATCTCAGTGTTTGAATTCTATTTATTGATCTTCTGACTTTTTATCCCCTGGCTTCAAAAAGTCCAGGGAACTCTGACCGGATGGCAGGATTGAAGCTGTTTATGTGTGGGGTGGGAGTGGGAGTGGTTCACTAAAGCCTTCTTTATTATAGAAAGGACCTGCCCTTACCTCCCCTCCATCCTTCTAGAGGGCTGCCTATTGTGTAATCCTGCCTGGATAAAGAAGGCCACATTCTCATTCCTAGCACTGATGCATTTTTATTTGAGGGTTCAAGTTTGGTATGTAAGAAATAAATTTCAAGATTTTCGTGTAGCAGAAAATGTGACCTTTTTTTTTAGTACTTTCTGGCTGAAGCTATCCCAGCTCATTTCCCTTAGCCCAAAGTCTAAGTTACTTTGAGAACACGGTAAACATTTTAACCAACTGAGTTGTTTGAGCACAACTTTTACAGACACAGCCTCATGAAAAATGACAATAAACTTTCTTCGTTACCATTTTTATGATTTTAACTGTTAAATATAGGCATCTCAATTTCCTTACATTATGGGCTATATTTATACACTGTGTATTTCTTCAAGTAAAACTTACTAATGGGCAATGTTTGAGTACAACGATAAAGATGTGTGTTAGGAAATATCAAACTCACAATACACCAGGGTTCTACGGGGCCAACTCAGTCAACAGTCACTATTCCTTATTCTTCGGTTTTACAACATACTTATATGGACCTTATACGAAGTGGAGAAACCTGGTCACTCAGAACTGTACACTATGATATGTTTTTGAAAGAATATAAACAAATGCTTTTAGCTTTCCAGACTCAGGCACCTGAAGGAAAGTGAAATAAAAGGTGAGAACTCATGCAACACATTTAGCGCAAATGTCTTTGTGTTTCTTGGTTTATTTCTTGTTTTGGTGGACTGTATCACTCAGGAGCTTCCTGAGAAAGGAAAAAGGGAAGACATATTCTTGAGAGTTTGTGTGTCTCAATATGTTTTTATTCTGCCTATACACTTAATTAATGTTTTGGCTGGCTTCAGAATGTTAGAAATAATTTTTCTTCAAAATTGATAAGGCAGGCTGAGCACAGTGGCTCATGCCTGAAATCCCAGCACTTTGGGAAGCTGAGGCAGATGGATCACCTGAGGTCAGGAGTTCGAGACCAGCCTGGCCAACATGGCAAAACCCCGTTTCTACTAAAAATACAAAAATTAGCTGGGCATGGTGGTGCATGCCTGTAATCCAGCTACATGGGGAGCTGAGGCAGGAGCATCAGGTGAACTCAGGAGGCAGAGGTAGCAGTGAGCCAAGATTGCACCACTGCACTCCAGAGCCTGGGCGACAGAACCTAGACTTCCTAGGCCAGTTCTCTAATGCGTTTGGATTTTTCTGATTTTCCCATCTCTTTGTCTTTAATTCCACATTTTGAGACATGTATGCAACCTTATCCTCTAGATCTTATTGTGTCTTCTTTTTGCTGTCATATTTTGAAATCCCAGGAGCTCTTTCTGTTATCTTTTCCCTTTTTACAGATTGCCTTCTGTTTCTTCTTTATGGATGCTGTACATACTCTCAGCTTTCTGAGAAAAGAGTTTTCTTCTGCCTTCTGCATTGTCTTTTTCTTCTCCCTTATTCCCCAGTGCCTAGTGGTTCTTGGCTGTCAGCTTCTATTTTAAGGGTTAGGCACTAAACTACATGGCTAGGTTTCCAGTCTATAAGTTTCACTCAGGACTGTATACTGAACTCAGAACTGTGTCACCATAGGTTGATCAGGAAGAGAACCAGTCCTTTTGTTGAGGACTTCAAACTGACAGTTTCTAGTTTCCTTTCAGGCTGGTTTGTTTTCCAAAGAGAGGATACTTCGAATCTGACTCAGCATATACAATTTTCAGGCTGTATGGGCAATGAGACTGAGGAGTCTTGTCATTCAGTATATAGAGTTTTATTTAATTTCATTGCTTTCAGTATGTTTCACCTGCTCTTGGCTATGCCCTGTGTCTTTTAATCTGATCATTCCTCTGGTTTAAACTCTCCAGAGAGTAAACATGCTGTCTAGCCCTTTTTGCAGACTTTCACTCTATCCTCTATTTCCAGCCTTATGCAAACTCCTGCTTTTGGACGCCAAGTTCTACCCTTCTGGGGTTCTACAGTCAGACTTTCTAGGTGCTTTCCACAAACCTAAGCTCTTGGTAGTCAGTGTTTACTGGTGTACTAAATCCATTTGTTATTTATCTAATTACCATTTCTGAATATTCCCTGTTCTCTCTTATATGTCTTTATTATTACTGTCCTCTTAATAGAATTTTAGAAGGGAGCAAGATAAATGTATGTGTTCGATCAAGTTGGGAAGTTTACTCATCTTCTGTATCTTTTCCAGCTGGAGCTTTGTATTATGTTGGAAGGTAGAGACTCTGCTTTGCTTTCTCTGGACTTTTCTCATTTTCAGCTCCCACCTGTTCTATACCTCAGCATGGTGCTCTCCTGGCTACAAAGACAGCACACCATGTATGTTGCCTCCTCCTTTGTGAATTGAACTAATAGGTTTTAGACAACATAGCTAATTTTGCTTTGAGCACAATGCAGTGAATAAAGGAAGGTCATCCTAATTTAACTTAACCTTCATTTTTTATAAATTATTTCAAGTTTTGTTAAGAAGGATATCCATTGTGGGCAGTAGAGAGCATACAAATCAACATGTCTGAGAAAAATAAATAAATAGCTAAATGTTCACACTTACCCATGATTATATGCTAATCAAAATACAATGACCACATAATATGGTATTGCCTTAAATACTTGAGTCAGAGATCACATTTATAGGATGTCCTCTTGGTGAATAAATTATTGTACTAGTCTTTAAATAGGGTTAGAAATAAATTGTTATTATTATTTTTTAAGACAGAGTCTCGCTCTGTTGCCCAAGCTGGAGTGCAGTGGCATGATCTGAGCTGACTGCAACCTCTGCCTCCCAGATTCAAGCAATTCTCCTGCCTCAGCCTCCTGGGTAGCTGGGATTACAGATCCCCACCATGCTACCCAGCTAATTTTTGTATTTTTAGTAGAGATGGGGTTTCACCATGTTGGACCAGCCTAGTCTTGAACTCTTGACCTCAAGTGATCTGCTCACTTCTGCCTCCCAAAGTGTTGGGATTACAGGCAAGAGCCACCATACCTGGCCTAAGAAATTATTTTAAAAATTCTTATATTTCATGATGAATGAAGTATGACTGTAAATTTATTTAAATTCAAAACTATGATTAGACAACTGCACCCTCTTTGAATTAATCTTAGGTTGCTAAGTTCTTAAACAGTTGAAGAATTATATATTAATACTTAGTTTATATATGTATTTTAAAAGTAAATTACATTTTACTTTCAATTTTTATTTACAAATACAATATATATCATCACATAAAAGCTAGATCTTGAGCCCAGTGTGATGGCTCACGCTTGTAATCCCAGCACTTTGGGAGGCCGAGGTGGTTGGATCACCTGAGGTCGGGAGTTCGAGACCAGCCTGACCAATATGGAGAAACCCTGCCTCTATTAAAAAAATAAAAATTTTAAAAAAAGTTAGATCTTGAAAAGGATTTTAGTTTTTAGGCATAGTTCCCATTATTCCTCTGCTTTCAATTCAGGTTTCACTGTGCAAATATTTTTTTCCAAGGTGTATTTGATTTGCCCTCCCAATATCCTTAACCAGAAGGAAACCACAGAAGAAAACACTGCTCAAGACACCCATTCCCACTGCTTGCGTAGACCTGATTCACTAGGAAAATAGGAAAAGCTTAAATGAAAAACATTCTAGGGAAGTGACAAACCATATAAGGCAATGGGTGAGCCGCAATTGTGGGCATAATATTTTTTCTCTCTCTCTTTCAACAGGGAGACACATCGCCTCTTCCTCCCACTGTCCCAGACTGTCTGCGGGCTGATGTCAGGGTTCCTCCTTATGAGAGCCAAAAATGTTCCTTCTATTTAGCAGACAAGAATATCACCCACGGCTTCCTCTATCCTCCTGGTTAGTAGAACTCTTTTTTAGAGCAGCAGCTTAGAAAGCTCTCATCAGCTGGATGTGGGCATGTGCCTTAAACATATACTCACCACCAAAACTACCTGCTTGGGCTAAGCTAGCTGCCTGAGAGGCTTCCAGTGGTTGTGGCTGGCCAGAGCAGCACAGCAGCTGTAATAAAGACTAAGACATTTTGCAGTGGGACCTGCACAGCAGCTCTCATCTGGCCCAGATGTTTAGAGAGTTCGGCAGGTTTAAGTTTAATTTTAAAACTGAAGATTCTTTGCAGAAGAACACAAGCTTCTAAAAGCCCATTTCTCCTGGCTCCTGCCCAAGCTAAGGTCTGCCTGGAGAACGGAGCTGTGCCTATGAAAAGAAATCAGGCCGGATGCTCGCTTCAGCAGAATATATCCTAAAATTGGAACAATACAGAGAGGATTACTTAATATAATAAAATAATAATTGAAAAAAAGAGAAATCAGGCTGGAATTTTGGCCTGTCGCTCCTGCTGTATGGCTAACAGTTTTAAACTGCAGGCAAAGCAGCCAAATGAACTTTACGTTTTTGTTGTTCTTGTTTTCAGAAAGGATCTCTCTTGGGAACCTGCAAAAGCTAGTGTGATTTTCCTAAAACTCAAGCCACTTCCCTGTGCAACAGGAAAAGTCACTTTTCATTAACTTGCCTATGAGATTTTCAGCAGTTTCACCTTCTTAGAGATTTGTAATTTAAAGATTCTGAAATTTATAATGGGAAAAAATGCTTAATGAAAGCAAGTAGCATATCAGTTGAAAACTCCTAACAGACTTAGGATAAATAAACTGATACGTTTTATGTATCTAGATATAATCGGGCATACCAAATTTATGTAAGCTCTGCAATAAACATTAAACATTTGCAACAGGCCAGGTGCGGTGGCTCACTCCCGTTATCCCAGCACTTTGGGAGGCGGAAGTGGGTGGATTACCTGAGATCAGGAGTTTGAGAACAACTCGGCCAACATGATGAAACCCTGTCCTATCTCTACTAAAAATAGAAAAATTATCCGGGTTTGGTGGCGTGCACATGTAATCCCAGTAATTCAGGAGGCTGAGGCATGAGAATGGTAGGTAGAGGCTGCAGTGAGCTAAGATCGAGCCACTGACATCAGCCTGGGTAACAGAGTGACACTCTGTCTCAAGAAAAAAAAAGTTGCAACATTTTATTAATAAAATATTTGAAATTGCTATATCAAATTGTATCTGTTAGGCCATAAGATATTATTCAATGTATAAATATTTGCCTGACAAGGAAATAAAATTAATAACTAAACACCTTGTCTCAAAAAATTAAGGATACAGCTGGACACAGTGGCTCATATCTGTAATCCCAGCGCTTTGAAAGGCCGAGGCAGGTGGATCACTTGGGCTCAGGAGTTTGAGACCAGACTGGGCAACATAGTGAGACCTTGTGAGTTTAAAAGAAAAAAAAAATTAAGGACAAAATGAAACTCTCTTCTGACTCTCCAGTATAAATTCCAATTATTTGTTAAAAATAGAATTTAAAAGAACTGTTAAAAGTTAAAAGAAAAAAATAGAAGTTAAAAGAAATAAGCAAATTCTTATTTTCCTCTAAGACAGAGGTAATGTTATGTTGATTGCCTTTCCAACTTTCAGGGCTTAGTTAAAAAGGTAGAGGAGGCTTTTTGTGGAGTTTGAGGACTATAAACACCATGTGAAAGTGCCTGCTTATTGGCCTCTCATTGAAGAATTAGTTACCAGGCGGGATGGTGCATGTCTGTAATCCCACCTACTCGGGAGGCTGTGGCAGGAGGATCTCTTCAGTCCAGGAGTTTGAGATCAGCCTGGGCATGGTAACAAGACTGCCTCAATAGTAACTAAAAAAAAAAAAAAAAAGAATTAGTTAAGATATCCAAGTATAGTTTAAGTATAAAAAGTATTCTAATATAAACCTCACATCAGTGAAATTGTGCACTATTTATGTTTCTGCAACTGCCTTATTTCTCTTAATGTCCTCAGGTTTTATTGATGGTCTTACATATTACAGAAACTAAAATAGTCAAATTCATAGAATCAGAGAGTGAAATGGTGGTTGCCAGGGGCTGAGGGAAGGATAAATAGTGAGTGCCATTAATTAAATAGGGATAAATTTTCAGTTAAGCAAGATAAATAAGCTCTGGGGATCTTCTGTAAAGTATTGTACCTAGAGTCAGTAGTACTGTACTATATACTTAAAAAATTGTTAACAGAGTAGATCTCATGTTAAACGTTCTTACCAAAATGAAATCAAATGGAAAAGGATTCGAATAAACACTTAGAGGTTTGCAGCTTTTAATCATCCCAATAATTCTACGAGATAGAAGCCATGAGACAAAGGAAGCACAGAGGGAGGCAGCACTTTGCCTGAGGGCTGCAGCTGTGAGCAGCAGAGCTGGGGTTCCCACCTGGGCTGTCTGCTTCCAGAGCACACTTGCTGAACACTCACTGTGCTCTCCTCAGAGCCCATGATTTGTGGTGTTGCCTTCAGCAGTCTCTGTAATAGTCTGTTCTCACGCTGCTAATAAAGGCATACCTGAGACTGGATAATTTATCAAGGAAAGAAAGAGGTTTAATGGACTCAGTGTTCCACATGGCTGGCGAGACCTCACAATCATGACAGAAGATTAAGGAAGAGCAAAGGGACATCTTACGTGGCAGCAGGCAACAGAGAGCATGTACAGGGGAACTTCTCTTTATAAAACCATCAGGTCTTGTGAGATTCATTCACTGTCATGTAGTTTTTCCATGGCAACAGCATGGAAAAACCTGCCCCCGTAAATTACCTCCCACCAGGTCCCTCCCATGACACGTGGAAATCATGGGAACTGCAATTCAAGATGAGACTGGGTTGCGGGGGGAACACAGCCAAACCATATCAGTCTCTATCAAGTAAAAACTTGTTTTCTTCAGAAAGTTTTATTTTTGAAGAGAGCTATCTATAATAGCACTGTTATTTTGTACACATCAAATAACTATGCATTTATATCTGACATTCTGTTTGTTTCCTAAGGCTGCTGGAACAAATGACCAAAAAAAGGTTGACTTAAAACAAAAATATATTGTCTCACAGTTCTGGAGGTCAGAAGGCTAAAGTCAAGGTGTTGACAGGCCATGCTCTTTTCAAAGTCTCTAGGGGAGAATCCTTCTTTGCCTCTCCCAGCTGCAGGTGGCTTCAGGCTTTGCTTTATCACTCAAACCTCTGCCACCACCTTCACAGGACCTTCTCCCTTGTGCTTCTCCTCTTCCCAAATCTCCTTCTCCTTATTAAGACACCAGTCACTGGATTTACAGCCCTCCCTAAATCCAAGATAATCTCGTCTAGAGACTCTTAGCTACATCTGCAAAGACCTATTTCCAAATAAGTTTATATTCACAAGGATGAAAAGAATGGTTAGGACTTGGATATATCTTTTTTGGGATCACACTTCAACCCACTACAGGCATAAAACTGCCTGTATTATTGATGACTTCTGTTAGAAAGTTCTATTTCTGTGCTTTGACTGTTAATAAATTCATATTAATATGTAATGGTAATAGGCCTATTATGCAGTATGTCATACTTTCTCTTATAGCTGGATCTAACAAGATCCATTTGTTTTGCAGCCATCAATAGAACTTCTGATAGCCAATATGATGCTTTAATTACAAGTAATTTGGTCCCTATGTATGAAGAATTCAAAAGTAAGTATGTATTTAAAGTATTAATTTTAAAATAGTTAAATGACTCCCTGAACTTCCAAACTAACATATTTTTTTAAATTGCAATTTGTTCCTGATATTAAGGGTCATTTTTTTCTAATGGTTTAAATATAGGTACAGGAAGGATCCCAAACAGAGTTTCTGTTCAACTTATTTTGACTTGTTGCTAGAATTCTAATAATTTGTTTTTACCTTTTAATTTAATTATTAAAAGCTATTCGCAAAACTAAATTTTACTGCCACTCACTAAAAGTTAATGAAAGGTAAATGTTCATCCCCTTCGTAATAATTAATAAGGCAACATGTATGTTCTGATCATTTTAACACTCACTGTCCCATAAGCAACTCAGCCTGAGGGAGAAATTTGGAGACATATTTATAATTTTAACTACAACAACAAAAAACTATCATCAATGTGGCTGTTTATTTCTGCTTGTGAAGCTTATTTTGGAGAATTACCCAGTCACCGCTAACAATTATTGAAGCAGAATTTCACGGTATTTAAATGGACTTGTCTATAATAGAAAATATTGTCATGTTCGATTGAAGTAGACATTTTAAACACTTTATTATTTTATTTTTAGAAATGTGGGACTACTTCCACAGTGTTCTTCTTATAAAACATGCCACAGAAAGAAATGGAGTAAATGTGGTTAGTGGACCAATATTTGATTATAATTATGATGGCCGTTTTGATGCTCCAGGTGAAATTACAGAGTAAGTGATCTGACTTTTTGATTTATCAATAGGGCCTCATGAGGGACAATTCCAATATTTTAAGTAAAACTCAGTATTTTAAATACTGTGTAATGTATTCATAGGCAAATGTTATTGTTCACTGTGTTCAATCTAATCTATCTAAATATTTTGCAAAACAATTCTATGGCAAAAAATTAAGCCAATGGGCAAAGAAAACAGTTCCTGGAAAAGTTCAGCAAAACCTTTTTTTGGAAAATTCCTAAACTAATGGGCAAAGATAACATGAATTTTTGTAAAGGCTGAGGAGGTAGAGAAAAACTTGATGTACTGTCAATTAATGTAAAACCAATCCAACAGTAAATGAAAAAAAGTCAAGTAAAGACTAAGGTAAATTTTACAAGAATAGTGAACAATTCATGAAAGCATTTCCCAGGAGATAGTGTAGGTAAATTTCATGCAGAAAACTAATCCTTACTAAACTGTACATCTCAGTACTAATCCTGGTCAGCACAGGTTGCTAAGAATTAGTTTTGAATGCGGAGCACAGTAATAGAGTTTTAGAGAAGTTTCATCCATCATTTCTCTTTATTATCAAAACATATGAAGGATCAAACTAAACCATTGTGCTGTCTATGCCTAGATTATGTAAAGCAATAATTTCTACCTGTACCTTCTGATAAAGTAACATTTATGACTACTACCATGCCCTTCTTTCAGTGTTGCTTGAATACTGCATCAATATTTCATTATTGATTCTACCTTTCACAGTTTAATAGTCCTAATAATCATAAGTTTGACAGCATTTTACTATATCCTAGGTACTTTTCAAAGAACTTATATATACATCAGATAATCTGCAAAGATACCCTAGTTAGGTTCCATTAGCCCCCAGTTAGAGATAAGAAAACTGAGGTTAAATAACTTATCTAAATTCTGCAACTAATAAGTGGTAACGCTAGAATATGAACCCAGACAGCCTGGCTCTGAGTCCATGTTCTAAATCACAGGAATATATTTCTATTTATATCAGTTTGTATTCCTTTGGTGGAGTCAGATTTTGCACTTAGAATGTTGATTATCTGAAACCAAAGTACTGTCACATCAGTTGCATGGGTTTATCCCCATGTCTGCACTGTAAGTTCATAGCACAGAATCACTTCCTTTGAAAGGTGAAAAGAAGCATTCTATCATCAGTAGATGATAGAATGTTAGAGAATGAGTGAAACTTTTTGTGGAAGTGCACGGCAGGAGGTGGAATCATTCTTAGCTTCTGCTCTATTAGAAAACACTACTGTGAAGTATAAAGTCAATAAAACAAGGAAATGCAGGAAGCAGAATACCATGCTCTGCTTTTTTTTTTTTGTATTCTAACATTCTTTCATAATGTTAGAATGACCAAGGTTGGACGTCTACTGTAAATCTCTATACAAGCTGATGGGAGTAAAAAATACGTATGACTTTCTGCTTTTTATTTGTTAATTTCTTTTACTATATTTTTACTTTGGCATTTCTTTAAAACCATATAAAGACATTTGTTGGCCTGGTGCAGTGGCTCACACCTGTCATGCCAGCACTTTGGGAGGCTGAGGTGGGAGGATCATTTGAGCCCAGGAGTTCAAGACCAGGTTGGGCAACAAAATGATAACCCATCTCTATGGAAAAAAAATCAAAAGTATATATATATATATATATACAATGTCTTTACATAGTTTCTCTATATATGCATATTTACATATATATCTATATTTATTTTTACATATATATGAAAAAACTGTGTAAAGACATTTATTATCTTTAGAAGCAAAAGTATAATAACATCAAAACATGTTTTCAATTATGTTTGTAAGACATGTAGCCAACACTGATGTTCCCATCCCAACGCACTACTTTGTGGTGCTGACCAGTTGTAAAAACAAGAGCCACACACCGGAAAACTGCCCTGGGTGGCTGGACGTCCTTCCCTTTATCATCCCTCACCGACCTACCAACGTGGAGAGCTGTCCTGTGAGTATGCTTTGGGAGGGTCCAGGACCTGAGAAAATGAGTCAGAGCTCATTTGCACTCTCATAAAAGTGGTTCTGACTAAAACTTATTTTTTTAGGTTTTTCATGGGAAAAGTTATAGCACAGATTACTTCATTTTTAGGCTTTTTCTTAGACTATTGATCTCTATGTAATTAATATCAATTTAAACATATATCTGCAAAGATGAACAGATGTTCATCTATGCATATCTTATATATTTTATTTATATACATTTCATTTACATTTACTAATAATGAAAGAGGTGAAGTCTTGTTAATCTTTTTTCTTTTTTTATTTATAACTGACATATGACAATTGCATATATTTATGGGATATAGTATGATGTTTAAATGCATGCATTTTGCATAATGATCAAATCAGGATAATTAATGTATCTACCACTTTAAACATTGATCATTTCTTTGTGGTAGTAACACTCAGAGTCCTCTCTTTTAGCTATCTTGAAATATACAATACATGGCTACTAACTACAGCCACTCTACTGTGTAATAGAACACCAGAACTTACTTTTATTCTGGCCACAAATCTTAAAGTTCTTCTAATGTTAGCACTAAATTAATGCTTCTGAATGAGTATGTAAGTATAAAAATTCCATCAGCCTGAGCCATGAGGTGTGAAATTATTGACACACACACACACACACACACACACACACGTTCCAGTAACGTTCTTTTTTTAAACATCATTTATTAGGCTACCTCAAAATCTTTTTTAGATCAAGGCAGAGTATATGTAAATAGTTAATTTAACTTGCATATAAGTTCCTTAGAGAAAATGTATGTATCCTGGAACTTAAGTTTTACTGAAGTCATTCTCAACAAATATATCGAGTGCCTATTAAGTGCACAGTATCAGGATAGAAATTCTTTAGAATGCATAAAGGAGGAATACAATTGTCCCTGCCTTTAAAGAGTTCATATACAACTTAAATTTACATATGAGATATAGGCACACAAATTAGTCAGTCAATAATACAAGAATTATTCTAAAAAGTAAAAGAGGTTGCAAAGTTGGGATCAATTGACAATTAATGTTAAAAGGACTTAGTATTTGAAGTTAAAATCACATTTGGCTGGAATGATCAATAAAGATTTCATAAAATAAGGTGCAAGTAGGGCTGTTCCCCAAAGGATGGATAGAATTTGAGTATATTGAGAAGACTACGAAGAGTCTTTCATGGAGGGTGGGTATGAAAAATGAAGAGGATTTAGTAACTGATTGGATGCAAGAGCCCCCACCCCAAAAGGAAACTCAAAGATGCATCAGATTTGAATGTTGGTAATTAGGAAAAAGACAGAGAGAGGAAAGTTAAGAATGAGAATGTTTTGGCAGGTAGATAGGATAGGTTAAGGCTAGGCATTTTAAGTAATGTAGAAATGGGCATCGATATGGAAAGTCCCATAGGTAATTAGAGCCTGGGAATTACTTGGGATCCAGGCCAGATTGGGATTAATCTATATTCTTTCAGGTGTTCAACACATGACTGCCTTCACCATGCTGTGCGCTATAGGAGGTACTCGCAATTAGAAATCCAGTAAAATATTAGAAGAAAGAGATAAGTGGTGTAAGTGTAAGAGAGGAACAGATAAACTGTTGTAGTAGAATTTCAAAGGAGAATTACTTCCTGACAGGCGGAGTGACATTTCAGTTGGGTCAGGCGGATAGGATTTTAGTTGAGTGTTTACATTGTCTAAAGAAGGTGGCCAAATTTAGAGGCGGAAGAGTGAGCCACTCATAGTCCTAAAATGAGGAAGAAGAGTTTCCAAACAGGAAACTCTCAGGAGATATTGTTGAGTTGAAACCCTTCCTACTTTTCCTGCCAGCATTTTATTTGGTTGAGATGAGGGCAGGCCATTATTCTTTACTTCCTCTTCCAATGGCAGACATCAATGACTGATACAGTGTGGTACTCTTTACCATGAAGTCCGGATTAAACAGTTCATTATTACAGAGGCTCTAGGTAGCCATGATGGAGTGATTACAGTGGGTACACAAAGAAGACACACTATTTGCTATCCCTGGTCCGGGCCCTTTTGACCTTCTATTAGGACTCTTGAAAATGAATCTTAAGTATATTTGTGATCTCCTGTCCTCTTGTCGTTTGTCAGTGTGCACTACTACCAACTTACTCATCTTAAAATTTAGCTTACGTTATGTCATAGCCTCTCACCCCAAAACTTTTTATTATCCTGAACAAAAATAAATAAATACAAAGAAACAAATGAAAACAACTTTGAGCCTGTACTTACGTCTTCTCACAATTTATCCTCAGTTGACTTTACAGGCTCATGTTCCAGGCAATTAGAGCCCCTGAAATGACTTGAACGCATCTTGAGTTTGCTTACCGCATCACTGTTGCCCGTGTTCTTCTCTTCTCCAGAATTCCTTTCTTTTCTACCTGCTAAAAACTCCACCTGCACATCAAGGTAAAGTGCAAATTATGTGAAGCTTTCCTTGATTATCCAAAGTAGAAGTGATCTCTCCAAAATTAATAGAGCACTATCTCTATCGAATAGGACATCGTCAGTAATGAATTGGACATATCCAAGAGTTGGAGGAATTTGCAGTATAGTAATAAGAATGTGACATCTATATAGATAATTATGAGACCAAACGCAATGAGTATAAAGCAAACTTAAGCCAAGCTATGATTATAAAAAGATTGCAAAGTTAATAAGAGTAGCTGTCAATCAGCTATGGGGAAGGGGAAGGCAGAATGAGAGAGAGGCAAAGATCACTTAAAAATCCAGGCATGACTGACCAGGAAATATATATGATAGATAATCTTTTGTTTTGAGGAGGATGTATTCGCTCTTGGCAGTCTTCAGTTTCATAGACTAGTTGAATATGTAGGAGGATATATGAGAAATAGCATGAGACAGATCTTAAATGCATGGATTTTGGAGTTGGACATCCTGGCTTCAGTGAATGACTTGGCCTCTTTGGGTAAATATGTTGTTTCCTCATCTGTTATATCTACTAAGTATAAAATACTCACCTCCTTTTATGAAGCTTGTAAAGATTAAACAAAATAATTTATATAAAACCCCAAGGCTTCCCAATTAAAAAATGATGGCTATTACATAGGAATTATATCTTACAATGAAGTTACATTCTCAAGTCAACAAAGACCAGAGGCAGTGGCTCATGCCTGTAATCCCAGCATTTTGGGAAGCCAAGTCAGGTGGATCACCTGAGGCCAGGAGATTCAGACCAGCCTGGCCAACATGGTGAGACCTTGTCTCTACTAAAAATACAAAAATTAGCCAGGTGTAGTGGTACCTGTCTGTAATTCTAGCTACTCGGCAGGCTAAGAGAGGAGAATTGCTTGAAACTGGAAAGCGGAGGTTACAGTGAGCAGAGGTCATGCCACTGCACTCCAGCCTGGGCAACAGAGCAAGACTCTGTCTCAAAAAAATAAAAATAAAAGTCAACAGAGTGAAATTGAATCTCCTATATGCAAATCATCCAGAAAGTATAGTACATTCACAGACTGTTTCTTAGTACATCTAAACCAGCCAATATTTCCAGTAGTATTTGGATAGGTAATTGCGCTTTGATGCACCTAATACTAATAAACCAGATGGCTTGCTTTAAGCATTGCATTGCATGAAAACTCTGTACTTTTAAATATTTGAATTACTCAATGTACGGATGTACTCTCACTGTTCAGAGGCTTGAGGGAACTGAGATCAAGCTATAGGAATGGTAGATTCACAATTCTATCCCACACTTGGTGTAAGGAAATAGGTCATATTTCCTCATTTATTTTGTCCTTTCCTTGTTCCTTCCATCTTTTCTTCCCTCCTTTTTCCTTTTCTCTTTCATGTCATCTTTGTATTGTTAAATTTCTGTCAGATAAATGAGATGTAGCCATGAGTCCAAGTGACTTTCATTATTGTAAGTTACTCAGCAGATATTGGAAAATATAGGTATGGAACTTGGAGGAGAAATCAGAACTGCAGCTCTCGATTTGGGATTAAATCATGGGCGTGAAATACAATTGCCAAAGGGGAGAAAATGGAAAGACAAGACCTCAAATCAAATTGAGGAACATATCTATACTTCCAGGAAGTATAGTCAGCTGAGGAAACAGAAGGTATCATCAAACAAATAAACAGTAGAGCTATGGATAAAAAGGAAAAACTTCAGAAGCTTAGGGTAGTTAACTAAGTGAAAAGTCTAAGGAAAGCCCACTCAGTGAGGTCATCCTTGACAAAGTGGTTCCATTAGCACGATGGCAGCAATCACCGGTCTGTAAGTGGCTAAGGAGAGAGAATAAGAACGTGGATAGGGCAGAAGAATGCTGAAATCAATATTGTCTCAACAAATGAGTTGTATTTTGGGGATATACAATACTCCCAATTCTGTAACAGGTATTTATACAAATACACACACATATGTATATCAAACGTAGCTCATAAAACTGTATTGCCTACCTATTCTATTGACGTGGACTGGTGCAAGGAGGGTGGTTTCTACAGCTGGCTTCTGTTTAGATTGGTTGGTGCCAGAGACTGACTCAGTTTGAACAGCTTAAGTATCATCTCTGCATAGGTATAGTTTTGTGTTATGCTTTGTGGTCATTTCACTTCAAATTTAAAAGAGGGAAGATGATCAGATGCCAAATAAATCAGGAAAGAGTGGAGTCATATAAACCAAATGGGAGAAAACGTTATGGAAAAAAAGTGATCAAGGATATTAGGTGCTACTGAAATGTGCAATAGTAAAGGCAGAATAACGGGACTTTGAATTAGATTCCCATTGAAAGATTGAACTCAAACTAACATACTGCATTAAAAAAAATGTTAGCTCGCATTGTGAATCTGACAGAGACAAGTGCTTTAGAGGTTAGGAACAAAAAGTATTTCCTCTTACACTTCCTCTGGCTCAGATAGTGACTGTCTGTATTAAGCTTGCATACTTAAACAAGTAAACCACTGTGTTGAAGTCAAATGAGAATCATGAAAACACATTAATCTAATTCAACAAACTTTGAAACTTTCTTTTTTTTTTTTTTTTTTGAGACGGAGTTTCGCTCTTGTTACCCAGGCTGGAGTGCAATGGCGCGATCTCGGCTCACCGCAACCTCTGCCTCCTGGGTTCAGGCAATTCTCCTGCCTCAGTCTCCTGAGTAGCTGGGATTATAGGCACGCGCCACCATGCCCAGCTAATTTTTTGTATTTTTAGTAGAGACGGGGCTTCACCATGTTGACCAGGATGGTCTCAATCTCCTGACCTCGTGATCCACCCGCCTCGGCCTCCCAAAGTGCTGTGAAACTTTCTAATTATATGAAAAGTTAACTGAACTTTAGCAATATCATACGAATACCAGAAAATTATTCTTTATAATAAAGAATAAAGACTGTCGTAGAAATCCATGTTTCTAAATTATTGAACTAACTTTTATATTGTAAAAAAAAATCCAAAATCTGACAGTCAAGAAATATCTGAAGGGATGCACAACTATAACAAGAGCATAATAAAATGTAAGCAGGCATAAAACACTATTTTACACCCATGGTTTGACAAAGATATGGGGAAATGGGAATTGTCTTTCACTGCCTATGGAACTGTAAATCGGTATGAAGACTCTGAGGACTGCTAGGTTTAATATCTGATAAAGTTAAAATTGAATGTACGCGGCCAGTTGTGGTGGCTCACGCCTGTAATCCCAGCAATTTGGAAGGCTGAGGCAGGCAGATTACCTGAGGTCAGGAGTTCGAGACCAGCCTGCCCAACATGGTGAAACCCTGTCTCTACTAAAAATACAAAAAAAATTAGCTGGGCATGGTGGTGGGCACCTGTAATCCCAGCTACTTGGGAGGCTGAGGCAGGAGAATTGCTTGAACCTGGGAGGTCGAAGTTACAGTGAGTCGAGATGGTGCCATTGCACTCCAGCCTGAGCAACAAAGTGAGACTGTCAATAAAAAAAATTGAATGTAATCTATGCCCAGCAATTTTATTAATATGTCTTAGAAACTAATGCTCTTGAACACAGGAGATATATGCCAAGTTACTTATTATAGTATTATTTATAATCATAAAAATTTTATCAATATGTAATGAAAAACGTGCTGTATTTCAATGAGGAAATATCACAAACCACAGCTGAGGAGATATCACAAACAAGTGACTTAAGACCTAGATATATCACTATAGATTACAAATGGTAATACCGAATGAAAAAAACTGCAGAATACCACTTATAATATTAACATAAATTTGAAAACTCATCGATTTGTCATATTGTATCTTGACATACAGTAAAAGTTTGAAAAAACAGACTTGATTCATCTTGATATAAAGATGTTTAGTTCTGAACAGAGGCACACTGGGGACTTCATCTGCAATATTTAATTTCATCAAAAAATTTATATCTGAAGTAAACATAAAAACGGATAGATTTTGACTATGGTGTTTTATGCTATTGTACTTTTGTTTCTTTTTATGTTTAAAAACTCAATTTACCTGCATCAAATTAAGATTTAAGGCAGTAAAAATCATTGGCAAAAAGGCAACTTTTAAGCAATAAAAATATTTCTGTTCATGAAAAATAATGTGAGAAAAAAAATATTGTGCTTTTCTTTCTTTTCCAGGCAGGTACACCAGAAGCTTTTTGGGTTGAAGAAAGATTTAAAACACACATTGCCCGGGTCCGCGATGTAGAACTTCTTACTGGGCTTGATTTTTATCAGGAAAAAGTACAGCCTGTCGCTGAAATTTTGCAACTAAAGACATATTTACCAACATTTGAAACCATTATTTAATTTAATAGTGTCTACTTAACGTATAACTTACTGTACAAAGTAATTTTGGCAAAACGTAAATGACTTTTTCTGGAGAATTATAAAATAAAGTTTTCTACTTTTCCTTAAGTCCCTAAAAGCCATAATTTTTATTATTACCTTTTCTCTTTTTCACTTCTATGAATATGTATTATTTTAAAGTTATATTTTCACACAGAGATGATGTTATATTATACCTTCTTTTTTGTTGTTGTTTATTTTTTTTTTAAGAGACGGAATAGTACTCTGATGCCCAGGCTGGAGTGCAGTGATACGATCTCAGGCCACTGCAACCTCTGCCACCTGAGTTCAAGTGCTTCTCCTGCCTCAGCCTCCCGAGTAGCTGGGATTACAGGCGTGTGCCAAGCTACTTTTTGTATTTTTAGTAGAGACTGGGTTTCAACATCTTGGCCAGGCTGGTCTTGAACTCCTGACCTTGTGATCCACCCATCTTGGCCTCCCAAAGTGTTGGGACAGGCGTGAACTACCGCGCCCAGCCTTTTGTTGGCTTTTTAAACTCTAATCTCATGACAGATTATAACTTTCTTATTGTATTTATTATCTCACTCAGAATCTTTAACTATATTTTTCTGACCGAATTATCTAAACAAAAAAGAGAACAAAAGAAGTATCTCTTACTTGGGAATTGAATCAGCTCTAAATCAGTTTTGTCACAAAACTTTTTGTATTTGACAACTGGCAATACTGATTTAAAATGCACAGAACTTTTACACTGTAATTTCACCTGTAAAAACTGTCCCAACAGATGAGCTTTGCACAAGTGCATGAAAATGACACCTTTTATGATCGCAATCATAAAACAACCTAAAAGTCTCGTTGTTTAAACAAATATTGTCCCATCTCAATAAAGACAGAAGTAGATCTATATATATCTTGAATGTATCACTATTGTTAAATGAGAAAGCAAGTGGTAGAACAATGTTTGTAGTATGTTTTCATTTTTCAGGGATTGGCAAACTTCTATAAGGGACTAGATGGTAACTTTGTTAGGCCATACAGTCTCTGTTACAACTATTCACTCTCCTGTGGCATCAAGAAAGCAGCCATAGATAATACAAAAAAGGAGTAAGAGTGACTGTTCTATTAGTCTGTTTTCACATGGCTATAAATACCTGAGACCAGGTAATTTACAAAGAAAAGAGGTTTAATCGATTCACAGTTTCAAATGGCTGGGGAAGCCTTGGGAAACTTACGGTCAGGTCAGGAGAAGGGGAAGCAAGCACTTTCTTCACAAGGTGACAGGATGGAGTGAGTGTAAGCAGGGGAAATGCCAGATCCTTATAAAACAATCAGATCTCAGAAGAACTCACTCACTATCAGGAGAACAGCATGGGGAAAACTGCCCCCATGATCCAAACACTTTCCTCCCTCAGCATGTGGGGATTACCATTGGAGATGAGATTTAAGGTGGGGACACAGACCCAAACCACACCATCTATGTTCCAATAAAACTTTATTTACAAAAACAAGTGGGGGGCTAGATTTGATCCTTGAGCTGTAGTTTATTAGCCCCTGATTTATATAATAAAATCTGGGCTAGGGGAGCAGGAATTAATAGAAAAAAAAAGAGATAACATTTTAATTTTGTGCTCTTTGTACTGCCTGAAGTTTTTTTTTTTCCACGCTCTATATGTATTTCTTTAATTTTTCAAACATAGAGTTATGAACCAAAGAGATCCTAGCAATTATTTTAGAGACAATACTATTGGTCAGGGTTTTGGGCTGCTAGACTGGCAGTTTTCCAGATTCTTCTCTGATATAAAGATAAGTTCATCCAGGGACACAGGCTTTGTAGATAATGAAAAATCTTGTGACCTGAACTTCAAGGAAAACTGGGATTTCAATTGAATTATGGTTATTATTTACAACCAATTGAGATGTTAGTTTATTCCCGCTGGATTTTTTTTTTAATGTAGTTTCTTCATATGTAGAATTTAGGTGAAAAATTTACGCAGTGCAAAATATGCAATACAGAGAAGCTGCAAGTTAAGACACAAATGGGACACTATTTCTGGATACACAGCAACAATGTTAATACGCTTTATATAGAGGCAATTTTTCTAATCAATGTTCTCCTGCCCCACCATGGCCTGGAAACTAAGTAAGATCACCTGGAATTTAGAACTCACAATAGGAAGACAAATGGTGGATGCTTACAACCCTGAACTGATTTAATAACCCTGGATTTCCCCATTACTTCTGAGTTTGTCTGAAAGAGGCTAAATTGTTAACATAAAAATAAAAAGAGAAAAATTAAAATTACATTGTTTTACACAGAGATTGTGGAATAGTATATCACCTTTTTGCATACTCATTATTCCATCAAAAAAGAAATATGTATGTGTAAAGCCATTTTGAATGAATGAATACCAGTGATTTAATGGATCATGAAATGTAGAGGATTTGGTATATCTACTTAATAACTTCCAGTTTGTAGACTATATTTACAATAAACTTGTTTTATTTTTAAAAATGTGAAAATGTAAGCAATAAAGTTAGTTATATTTTAAAATATTATTTAAAAATGATTTTATATGTACCCAAAATTTGCGAGAATAGTATAGTCCAGGCACTGTGGCTAACAACTGTAATCCTAGCACTTTTGGGAGGCTGAAGTGGGCAAATCACTTGAGGTCAGGAGTTCAAGACCAGCCTGGGCAACATGGTGAGACCCTGTTTCTATTTTAAAAAAGAATAGTATAAACAATTCTTTATAACCTTTATTGAGCTATGTCAATTAAAATTTTCAGTATGTACATTTATATATAGTTTTATATTTCCCCCTGTACTTCTGAGAGTATATTGTAGTCATTATGCCCATTAACCCTAAATACTTTAGTGTGCAAAGATCAAGGACATTAACTCACAGTAGGTTTAATGTTGATACAATGCTATAAATAATCTAGTTTATGGACCGATCAGTTTTTTTCATATTTGCAACAATTTGTCATATTTTCTGTTTTGGTCTAGGAGCTGAAAGAATCATTCATCGTATTAAGTATTTTTTTCTCTTCGGTCTCTTATAATGTGCAACAATTCCTCAGCCTTTAACAAACAATGTTGATAGTTTTGAAGAGTCCAGGTCATTTATTTTGTAGCCCGTCCCTCAACTGGGTTTTTCTGGCATTTCCAGATGACTGGATTAACACAATGCATTTTTGGCAGGGACACTACATTAGTAATATTTGTCCTCAGCGCTTCATATCTGAAAGCACATGATGTTCATCTGTGCCATCACTAACCCATGCCAGATTTGATCACTTGGTGAAGTTAGTGTTCAGTAAGCTTCTCTTCTATAAAGATAGTTTTCCCTTAGAAATTTATAAGTTATTTGTAGAAGGATACTTGAGACCGTACATATATCCTGTTTCTCATTAAATTTTTACCCAACAGTATCCATTAATAAGCCTTCCCTGATTCATTTTTTACTATGGTAGTTGCAAAAAGAGTGATTCTTAAAAACTCCATTATTTTGCATGCTATTATAAGCAAAAGTGTTCTCTTCTTATTTATTTATTATTGTTTATCTGTACAGACTCATGAATTTTTTCATTCCAATGGATTAAAATATGTTGTGATCATTATTTATTTCAATACTCAAATTGTCCCAGATTTGGCCAACAGGAGCTTCTTTAAGTGGGCTTCTGGGTTCTTTGGACACACCCCAATATTTTTTGAGGACTTTCTTATTTTCTAGTAAAAAAAAAAAATTCAGGATTATGCTGTAATTTTCCTGCACTAACTCCGGAATCAGCTCTTTCTCCAAAAAGCCGTGGTTCCATTGATGGGCACTGGTGCCCTAATTGCTTCTGGGGCATCATAACATCTAGGCCCCTTCAGTCAACAAAAGTGGAGTCTTTGTCTATGTCTCTTTGCCTATATCTACCTTTATATTCATAAATGTTGTAAACTTAAAATAAAATCCTAAGTCCCCCACTAATAGAACAGACCCTCTTGTGGCCAAGAGGACCCCAAGAAAAACCTTAAAACTGAGTTACTGGCCACTGCCAGGAGAGAGAGGAGGGGAGGTCAGCCATGCCTCGTTCTACCCACTCTCTTCTGTGATTGAGACAAAATGGACCAGCATTAATGTTAAAACAGAGATCGTAAGACTGACAGAAGAGACTCTGGCAATGAGATACCAAATTATATACAGGACAAAAGGCCATGCCAGGTAAGAATAAAATAATGTACCTTACACTTAAAGACTAAACTTTTTTGTTTTTGCTTTTTTGATGGAGTCTTGCTTTGTCACCCAGGCTGGAGCGCAGTGGCATTATCTGGACTCACTGCAACTTGCACCTCCCGGGTTCAAGCAATTCTCCTGTCTCAGCCTCCTGAGTAGCTAGGATTACAGGCATATGCCACCACACCTGGCTAATTTTTGTATTTTTATTAGAGACGGGGTTTCACCATGTTGGTCAGGCTGGTCTCAAGCTCCTGACGTCGTGATCTGCCCGCCTTGGACTCCCAAAGTGCTGAGATTACAGGCATGAGCCACCACCCCCAGCCTGGTGTAAACTGTTTTAACTGTCACAAGAGTTTTTTTTTTTGTTTGTTTGTTTGTTTTGTTTTTCCCCTCAAGCACTAGCTTTGAGATAAGCAATATTAAAAAAAAATTACGACTCATCTTGCTAACAAACACTTGCTAACAAACCCCAGTTCCACCAGCCATAACTACAGCTTTGATTGGACAAAGGCCTGATTTCAGTAACTTTCTTCTGATAGGGAGACCACCAACCATGGACTGATTCTGCCTGGTTTACAGAGATTGCTCACTTGGGTGCCTTGTAACCTGAAAAGATCTTTTGATGTATAGGGCCCAACTGTAACATATTTGACAAGAACAGGCACTTTTAGGGTGGTATGCCAGTAGACATAACTGTAATATTTTTGAATGTTAAGTCTCCACCCACAAGTGAACATGAGTCATATGTTACATGCAGATTTGCTCAATAAGCATGTGTCAGGACCACCTTCATTAATATTCATAGCTCCTCCCATGATCTGTTGAATATGTATGTTTAGCCAACCTCTTCAGCATAAAACTGCTACTCTAACCTCTCGCC